CTCCTCCTCCTCCTCCTCCTCCTCCTCCTCCTCCTCCTCCTCCTCCTCCTCCTCCTCCTCCTCTTCTTCTTCTTCTTCTTCTTCTTCTTCTTCTTCTTTTTTGAGACAGGGTTTCTCTGTAGTTTTGGAGCTTATCTTGGACCCTGCTCTTGTAGACCAGGCTGGTCTTGAACTCACAGAGATCCACCTGCCTCTGCCTCCCGAGTGCTGGGATTAAAGGCATGCACCACCACCGCCCGGCGGTGGCTGAATTTTTTATAGACAAGCATATTTGGTCCCCAAATTTTCTCAGCACCATAAAAGAAAAATTGCCAGTCACTTCCCAGCTCCCGCTTCCCCAGGTCCCAGTAACCACACATCTGTTTTTTATCTCCATATCTAATCTGTATGTCTCACATGGATGACACACAAGGCTCATCCACATGGTAGCATCTGTCCAAACACTAATCTGTCCATGGTTCACCTGATGGCCGTCTGTCTTGTTCCTGTCCCCTGGGTGTTGTAGAAATGCCCACCGGCAGAGTTCCTGGATGCACTGTCTGGGCCTCTGTTGTCCCTGCTGGTGTCTGTATCTGGAAACAGAATGGCTGAGTAGGTGGCACGCAGCTTCTTGTGAACACACACATCTGCATTGGTCATTGTGGATCGCAGGTCTCCGAATTCCACATCCTTCCTGTCCAGGACTGGCATGACGGTGGGGGGGGGGGGCGTTATTTTGCTTTTGAGCAGAGCCATGTCCTCTAAAATGCTGCATTCCTGCATGGCAACCCCAACTCTCCAGGGATCTGTTCCGAGATGTCCTGACAATGCCCAGAACCCAGATAGTTCCCAACCTTGTACGACTGCTTCCCAGTGCACATATACCTATAGCAAAGTCTGATTGACAAGTCCAGCAGCCTAGAGGCGAGCCACATGACTGCTCATGCACAGAGCGTCTGAGACAGCGTGTCTAAGAGCTGCATGTGCGTGCTCTCTCTCCGCACACCTGCTTGAACCACTATAGTTTTGGACTCCTGTCAGCCAAAACTCCAGAAAGCAGATGTGAAATCCAGAGAACTGGGCATTGGGGGTAGAGGGGGTGGTGGCCATGTCCCACGGCGCCACTTGGTCTGCCAATCCTTGCACTGACTGAGCTGACTTGAACGAGTTGTGGGCTGGAGGGATTTTGCCTGTGTCCCTGGGGTGCCTCTTCACCCTGTGATGTTGACATGGTGCGTTTTCAGATCTGGATGCTGGTTCAGAGGAAGTGGATGTACCTGGAGAGCATCTTCATTGGTGGGGACATACGGTCCCAGCTGCCAGAGGAGGCCAAGAAGTTTGACAACATCGATAGGACATTTAAGAGGGTAAGTGACCAGCGTGAGAGAGGACGGCGTCCCCGTGAGTGTGAGAGAGGACGGCGTCCCCGTGAGTGTGAGAGAGGACGGCGTCCCCGTGAGTGTGAGAGAGGACGGCGTCCCCGTGAGCGTGAGAGAGGACGGCGTCCCCGTCAGTGTGAGAGAGGACGGTGTCCCCATCAGTGTGAGCGAGGACGGCGTCCCCGTGAGTGTGAGAGAGGATGGCATCCCCGTGAGCGTGAGAGAGGACGGCGTCCCCATGAGTGTGAGCGAGGACGGCGTCCCCGTGAGCGTGAGAGAGGATGGCGTCCCCATCTGTGTTGTCCCGGTCAGTGTGAGAGAGGACGGCGTCCCCATCAGTGTGAGAGAGGATGGCGTCCCCATCAGTGTGAGAGAGGACGGCGTCCCCGTGAGTGTGAGAGAGGATGGCGTCCCCGTGAGTGTGAGAGAGGACGGCGTCCCCATGAGTGTGAGAGAGGATGGCGTCCCCGTGAGTGTGAGAGAGGACGGCGTCCCCGTGAGCGTGAGAGAGGATGGCATCCCCGTGAGTGTGAGAGAGGACGGTGTCCCCATGAGCGTGAGAGAGGATGGCGTCCCCGTGACTGTGAGAGAGGACGGCGTCCCCGTGAGTGTGAGAGAGGACGGCGTCCCCATCAGTGTGAGAGAGGATGGCGTCTCCATCTGTGTCGTCCCGGTCAGTGTGAGAGAGGACGGCGTCCCCATGAGCGTGAGAGAGGACGGTGTCCCCATGAGCGTGAGAGAGGACGGTGTCCCCGTGAGCATGAGAGAGGACGGCGTCCCCATGAGCGTGAGAGAGGACGGCGTCCCCATGAGCGTGAGAGAGGACGGTGTCCCCGTGAGCATGAGAGAGGACGGCGTCCCCATCAGTGTGAGAGAGGACAGATTCCCCATGAGTGTGAGAGAGGACGGCATCACCACACACTGTTGTGTCTATGTAGACTTGTTCCTGAAGGTTGGGTCTTCTGAAGCTCTTGGTCATTCCTTATGTGACTAATTTACTTAGGAAATTTCCCGCTTATTGACCTACATAACAGTTGACCATGTCTCTCTGGAATTCTTATCCTACATAAACACACAGATATAGGTAAATCCAAAGGCAGGCTGCAATAGGACCACATCCAACAATATAACCTCAGTTCATTATCTTTGACATATTGCTTTACATTTTAAAAGTTAAATTTAGTGTATGTGTGTGCACATGCACCTACCCCACGCATCACACATGCCAAGGCCACGTGAGAAGACAGCCTGTGGGGGTCCGTTCTCCCCTTTCACCATGTGGGGGCTGGGGATTGAACTCAGGGCCTCAGGCTTGGTGGTGGGCCTCTGCAAGCTGAGCCATCTTGCAAGCTCTCTTTTATGCATATCAGTGAATAAACAACTAAGTTTTTGCCTGTTCCTTTACTGTTGGACTTTTAGACAATTTCTTTCTGTTCTCCCCGCTACCCTGACCCTTCCTTGTGGCGCGGAAGAACCACTGTAATAAATATCCCATGCGTGCAAATGGCTCCTAACTCTTGCTGTCTCCACTCATTTCTTTTTCTTTCTCTCTCTCCTTCTCCCCCTCTCTCTATTTCTTCCTCTTCCTTGTTTTTGTTTTTCTCTGTGTATCCCTGGCTGTCCTGGAACTCCCTCTGTAGACCATACTGGCCTTGAACTCACAGAGATCCTCCTGCCTCTGCCTCCCAAGTGCTGTTATTAAAGACGTATGGCACTATGCTCAACTCCACTCATTTCTTAAGCCCTGGTTGAACACCTACTGTGTGCAGCACTGTTGCAGGGGGTGGGGTACTGCATGGTCACACACACAATCCCTACTGTGTGCAGCACTGTTGCAGGGAGTGGGATACTGCATGACAAGACACACACAATCCCTACTGTGTGCAGCACTTTGCAGGGGGTGGGATACTGCATGACAAGACACACACAATCCCTACTGTGTGCAGCACTTTGCAGGGGGTGGGATACTGCATGACCACACACACAATCCCTACTGTGTGCAGCACTTTGCAGGGGGTGGGATACTGTATGACCACACACACAATCCCTACTGTGTGCAGCTGGCCTCCTAACAGGAAGACACACTAGAAATGAGTTTGAGATGCTGGCAGGAGACACTTGCCCAGAGCTTCACGGCTTCGTGCGGGTCTCCCTGAGGCTGTGGTCTGCCTGCCTGCTGGTCCTTTTGTGTCCTGATCTGTGCCTTCTGGGGACTGTAGAAACAGCATTTCTGCCACCTTGTGTGACACTCGGCTGTATCCCTGGCCTTTTCCAGATCATGGGGGAGACTCTGAAAGACCCGGTGATCAAGCGATGCTGTGAGGCCCCAAACCGTCTTCATGACCTGCAGAACATCAGTGATGGCCTGGAGAAATGCCAGAAGAGCCTGAATGACTACCTGGACTCCAAGAGGAACGCCTTCCCCAGGTTCTTCTTCATCTCAGATGACGAGCTGCTCAGCATCCTGGGCAACAGTGACCCCCTGTGTGTGCAGGAGCACATGATCAAGGTCAGGGCTCCTTCAGGGCCAGGCCCACTGTGAGCGTTGGGGCCCCTGGTGAGCGTTGGGCCTCTGGTGAGCGTAGGGACCCATGGTGAGCGTGAGGGGCCCCTGGGGCAGATCAGGGCTCTTGATTTTGGGTCAGGATTTTGCATCAGGGCCAGCAGCCATGCTCAGTTAAAACATCCCTTTTTTAAAAAAGGAAATGTTTCCCTTCTCAAGAGGTAGGCTCTTTCCTTTCCTTCCCTTTCCCTTCCCTCCCTTCATTCCTCCCTTTCTTCTTTTCAGAGCTATGTAGCCCAGGCTGGCCTATAGTGGTCATCTTCATGCAGCAGCCTCCCAGTTGCACCCATGCCTAGCTAATCCATCCTTTCCTCCCTCCCTCCCTCCTTCCCTCCCTCCCTCCCTCCCTCCCTCCCTCCCTCCTTCCCTCCCTTCCTTCCTTTCTTTCTGTTTCTCAAGACAAAGTTTCTCTGTGTAGCCCTAGCTATCCTGGAACTAATTCTGTAGACCAGGCTGGCCTCAGACTCACAGAGATCCGTCTGCCTCTGCCTCCCAAGTGCTGTGATTAAAGGTGTGAGTCACCACCACCGGGCAAATTCCCCCTTTCTAAACATGCCATTGCCGCTGTAGAGAAAGGATGCCAGATCTGCCCCCGTCCCTGCTTCCTGTTTCTTCTGGGAGTTCTCCCCGTTTTACTCTTTAAACTTGGCCACTCCTCATCTCTTCCCATCTGTGCTATTCCGTAGGGGCCCTAAGGACTCAGGTTCTGGACTTTTCTTTGGCTCGAGTGTTTGTGACCGTGACATGTGGCTCCTGTCAACTGTGGGACACTCCCAGCTTCACCTTTAAGGTGTTTCCTTCAGGCTTCGGGAAGCAGGACAAGTGGCCCTGAGTTGCCTGGTCACATCTCATGTCCCTAAGCCCTCAGTTCCACCTCAGGTTCAACTCCTCACTCTGCCGTGTGTGTCTGGACCACTTTGTCCCCATGTTCACACTAGATCCCATGATTCCTCAGAGGTTTTCCTTCTTTCGGAAAATCCACCTTTGATTTTTCACAATGCTGAGGAAGTAGCCTGTCATCCCGACTGATAAACACAACACCAGGTGTGTGGACATCTGTTCAGGGCAACCCTGAGAGTGTCATGGCCACCATGGAGGGTGGGCGTCTTACCAGCATCCCTATCTGCTTCTCCTGCTGCCTGCAGATGTACGACAACATAGCCATGCTGCGCTTCCACGATGGAGACAGCGGGGAGAAGCTTGTGTCGGCCATGATCTCGGCAGAGGGAGAAGTCATGAACTTTCGCAAGATCATCCGGGCTGAGGGCCGTGTGGAAGACTGGATGACCGCCGTGCTAAATGAAATGAGAAGGACCAACAGGCTCATCACCAAGGAAGCCATCTTCAGATACTGTGAGGACAGAAGCAGGTGATGTGGCTGTGTGAGGGTGAACAGCTACATCCCGCCACCGAGCACAGGGTGATTTAAGAGTTTAAGACAGGCAGGCCGCTGCAGTAAGTCTTTTCTTGCCATGGCAACCCAGCTGATGAAAACTATTTCAGATGATGGTTCTGGATAGTACTTCCTAGGTGAGCAAGGCAGCAGGTTGGGCGCTTGTTACAAATTCAACTTGGGCTGGGAGTGTGGCTCTACAGTAGAGTTCCTGTCTAGAATCCCCCAGTGAGGGACTGGGGGGTGTCTCAATGGCAGAGTCCTTGCCTAGAATCCCCCAGTGAGGAACTGGGGTGTGGCTCAGTGGTAGTGCACCTGCCTAGAATCCCCCAGTGAGAGGCTGGGGTGTGACTCACTGGAAGGGCAGCTGCCTAGAATCCCTCAGTGAGGGGCTGGGGGTTATGGCTCAGTGGAAGAGCATCTGCTTAGAACCTCCCAGTGGCAGAATGCTTGCTTTGAATACACGAGGCTGTGGGCTCCATTCCCAACGCTGTAGAAATGAATAACTGAATACAACTTCCCAGCACCCACCCCCACCCCATTCCTGGGCACCGGCCGGCCACTCGGGGCCTGCACCAGATGTTGTGCCATCCCTAGCCCTCTGGGCTTCCGAGCAGACCTCACTGTGAGAATGGAGCTTAGCGGTCAGGAGAGGCACTGCCAGGATCCTTTGTAGACTCTGTCACTGGGAGACAAACAGGATCCCATCAGGCAGGTGCCTTACTGTGTAGCTATACCTCCAGCTCCTTGGTGGTGGCTTCTCAGCCAGGACTCTACCGCCGAGCCATGCCCCTGGCCCTATGATGGACGGGTTGCTATGTAGTTGGGAGCCTATGAGGTTGAGGGAGGGGAATCACTGTCCTGGTGTTCATGGTCTAGCCCTGGAACTTTCCTGGCCTTCACGCCTCCTGCCCCAGCTCAGACATCTAAGCTCCTGGAAGTGCAACTGACTTCCCATCCAGCCTCTTGCGGGACCCAGGCTCTGCCAAGCCTTTGACAGTGTGCTCGCCCTGTAGGGTGGACTGGATGCTGCTGTACCAAGGCATGGTGGTGCTGGCCGCCAGTCAGGTGTGGTGGACTTGGGAAGTGGAGGACGTCTTCAATAAAGTCAAGCAAGGGGACAAGCAGGCTATGAAGAACTACGGCAAGAAGATGCACCAACAGATTGACGACCTGGTCACACGGATCACCATGGAGCTGAGCAAAAACGACAGGAAGAAATACAACACAGTCCTCATCATCGATGTCCACGCCCGGGACATTGTGGATTCCTTCATCCGGGGCAGGTGGGCTACCTCCCTGGGATTCTGGGGCGTTTTACTGTTCTGTCCTTCTGCGGTCTGCCCAGCTATGGTCCCTTCCTTCTCTTCCTTTCCTGATCCAGCATCCTCGAGGCCCGGGAGTTTGAGTGGGAAAGCCAGCTGCGCTTTTACTGGGACCGCGAGCCGGATGAGCTCAACATCCGTCAGTGCACAGGGACCTTTGGCTATGGCTATGAGTACATGGGCCTGAACGGAAGGCTGGTCATCACGCCCCTCACAGACCGCATCTACCTGACGCTCACGCAGGTGATGCTTGCCCCCAGACATAGCTTTTTGGTGGACCTAGATGGAGCCTTGGCTCTGAGCTCTAGGAGACATCTTCGTTTGGAATATGATTGTCACTAATGGGACTGTACAGCCCGAGGGCCTCTTCCCTGGGATGCTGGTTCCACCCCATAGCTTAGACCCCCACACAGCAGCCCCGAGCAGTGGGGTGGAGGCAGAGGGTAACAGAAAGTTGCAGAAATGTATAGGACATAGAAGATAAACTGTATTGTACTGTAAGAAGGCAAGTGGAGGAGGAGGAGGCCGTGCCTCCCCTCAGGATGGGGGCCAGTGTGTTAGCACCTGGAAGATTCTTTGGTTTGTGGCACCGAGAATAGAACCTAGGACCTTGTACACGCTAAGCAAGTGCTCAGCCATGAAGTTGTACCAAAGTCTGCTTGAAGCACCCATGTGTGCCGGGTCCCTTACCTCACCGCTCAGCTCAGAGCTGAGACTCAAATCCACGCCATGTGCAGCTCACTCCTGTTCTGGTCTCCCCATCACCCTGCTGCATCTGGGGGTACACAGGAGCATGGAGGTGTGAAGTCCATGGTATCCCCGGACTGTGAGCCGAGAAGCCCTTTATTGTCCTAGAAAGAAGTGTGGACTTAAGCCGTGCATAGTGGGCACGCTTGGAGGTGGGGGCAGGAGGATCAGGCATTCAAAGCCATTCCCACCTACATAGCAGGTTGTACGCTAACCTGGGCTACCTATTTCAAACCTGAAACCCCACTTCAAAGCATGGACGTATAAGCTTATCTGTGAGTTAGGGACAGGATCAATGGGAGACCACGAGTCTAAGCATTTTTTGACTTTGATCACAGAGGCAAGTGTGTGTCCTAGCCAACTGTTACCCAACAGGACAGATGGGACCGAGGCCCTGAGCTACCCACTCTCATTTGGGTCTGAAGTCCCTGGGGAATGTCAGAGTATAAGGCTATTATCGCAGCCAAAGTGGAGACAATATCTTCCCTTCCTTTGCTCTCATCCAGTTCTCGTGGGACAGGGCTAAATGCCACTGCCCACCTGAGGATGACCATCTGCCTAACCTGGCTCACTACAAAGTGTCAGTCTCTGAGACATTCTCACAGACACACCCAGAAACAATATCTAGCCAGCACTATGGAGAACTCCCAGCACAGCCAGGCCGACACATGGAACTGAGCACTGCAATGTCCATGCCTGTGTCCCAGAGATGACCCTGGCAGCAGTGCCCTTTCTCTGAACCAGAACACGCATGTTTTGCATTTGGCTGCTCACAGGCGCTGTCCATGTATCTGGGAGGTGCCCCTGCTGGCCCAGCAGGAACCGGCAAGACAGAGACCACCAAGGACCTTGCCAAAGCCCTGGGCCTGCTGTGTGTTGTGACCAACTGTGGCGAAGGCATGGATTACAAAGTAAGGCCTTGCCGCCCCTTTCAGTACCTCTGCAGGGAGCTCCTAGTGTGGGCGTGGTTGGGAAGTGTGGCACCTGTCTTCTCAAATGACAAGTGATAGCTGGGAGGAGGATGTTAGAGTAAAACCAGCACTCGGGAGGCAGAGGCAAGTGGACCTCTGTGAGTCTGAGGACAGCCTGGTCTTCTAGAGCTAATTCCAGGATAGGTTCCAAAGCTACAGAGAAACCCTGTCTCAAAAAACCACACACATACACACACACACACACACACACCATTTGCTCAGCCACAGGGCAAGAGTCCTGAACTCATAGGCTGCTGGGATCAGGGAGACAGCATGGATGATTAAGGGGCCATAGAGAGGGACGAGGGCAGCAGCTAACTCCAGTACTGCACTCCGAGTTCTAGAGGAACTGGTCAGCTTTGGGACTGCGGACCCACTGTGGCTAGATCGCCCATCATTTTAGCAGCTGGCAATCTGGAGTTGGTACAAACGCACAGTCTTGACTGTCTAGCCCGAGTGGAAGCTGGTCTACCGCGGGCCTTGTGCCAGCGCTCCACCCAGCCGCTCAGCAAGTTGTTTAATATGGAAGGCCAGGAGGAACAGGCCCCGACGGTTCTAATGGTTCCCTAGGCTGTCGGGAAGATCTTCTCTGGCCTCGCCCAGTGTGGCGCATGGGGCTGCTTCGATGAGTTCAACCGGATTGATGCCTCGGTGCTGTCTGTCATCTCGTCTCAAATCCAGACGATCCGCAATGCGCTGATCCACCAGCTGACCACATTCCAGGTGAGGGGAGGCGGGGAGGCACCTGCACCCCTCCCCAGGATGGCATCTTGGGTGGGGGCTATTGTCAGATGTTAGTTACTCTTGTGTTACTGCGACCAGACACTTTAAGTGTGAAGGAAGCAATGGTTTTGGCTCACGGTTTCAAAAGGCTTGGTCCATCATGGTGGGGAGAGCAGGGTGGGGTTGCTCCCACCCCTGTGGTGCCAAAGCAGAGAGAGGGACATCCCTGTGTTGCCTCGCTCTCTCCCCCCTCCATTTAAATTTATCCAGACACCTTATCTCAAGGATGGTGTCCCTCACATTCATGGTTGGTCTCCCTCCATCTGTTAATTTTCACAAAAGCAGCCAGAGGTCTACCTAAGTGATCCTAAAACAGCCAGAGGTCTACCTAAGTGATCCTAAAGCAGCCATAGGTATACCTAAGTGATCCTAAAGCCACTGAGCTTGTCAATGAGAATTACCTACCACACCTGGCCAGACACCAAACCTGATCAAAGATGGCCAGATACGAAATTTCACCGGATTACACAGTTTACCAGATATTATGCCCAGACAGACATTAAGCCAGGCCAGATATCATATTTGACCACACCTTACCAGGCACCACCCCTGACCATACTTGACTACATCTGACTACACCTGACCACACCCGACCATACCTGACCACACCTGATAACACCTGACCACACCTAACTACACCTGACCACATCTGACCACACCCGACCACACCTGACCACACCTAACCACACCCGACTACACCTGACCACACCTGACCATATCTGACCACATCTGACCACACCTGACCACACCTGACCACACCTGACCACACCTTGACAGGCACCATAGCTAACTGGACACTACACCTGGCTTCCCAGAGATATCTTGGATTCTGTGTCAGTCCGGAGAATCCATATTGTCCACATCACCATCTCCCTTGGGGATGCCCCTGTGGCCCCAGCTTCCTCTCCCTGGGTGAACTGGTGACGACATCACCCACTCCTTCCTCTCCTGTCACCCAGTTCGAAGGGCAGGAGATCTCCCTCGACTCTCGGATGGGCATCTTCATCACCATGAACCCCGGCTACGCAGGCCGCACAGAGCTGCCCGAGTCTGTGAAAGCACTGTTCAGGCCTGTGGTTGTCATCGTACCCGACCTGCAGCAGATCTGTGAGATCATGCTCTTCTCAGAGGGCTTCTTGTGGGCCAAGGTGAGCTCTGGGATGATTCTGCCCCGTCTCTGCTCCTCCCCCATTCTCTCGTGTGCTAATGCTAGGGAGGTTGGGACAGCATCCACAGGTCTCCCATGTATCCCTCCCCAGGAGTGGCATCTTAGGCATACAGCTGCAGTCTTTGTCAGCCTGTGAGCTGCCCAGGCACACGCCATGTTCAGACATCACCAGGGTTCATGTTCTTCCTGTCACTATGCGTAGCAATGGAGTGACCGTCACCATAGTCAGAGCACAAACCAAACTTTTTGCCACCAAGATTCTCTCACATCAGCCTTTAAAAACCACACCAGGGGTTGAGAGAGAAGGATGAGTCAGTACAGTGCCTACCTGGAGCATGAGGACCTGAGTTCAAGTCCTCAGACCCACATAAAAGCCAGGTGTAGTGCTACACCCCTGCCATTGCTGTACTGGGGAGACAGATCCCTGGAGCTTGCTGGCCAGCCAGCTTCACCATTCAACTCCAGGGTCAGTGAGAGACCTCTCGAAATACAAGGTACGGACTAAGGAGAGGACCCACTGGGTGAAAGGGCTTGCTCTGCAGTCAGATCTGGTTTGAATCCCCAACACCTATGTAAACAGCTGGGCATGGCTGCACATACCTGTAACCCCAGTGTTGGAAAGAGAAGACAGGTGGATCCCAAGAGCTCCCTGGTCAGCCAGCCCAGGCAAAGTAAGGGAGCTTCTGGTTCAGTGAGAGATTCTGCGTCAAGCCAATACAGCTAAGGGTGAGAGAGGGAGTCAGCTAATTCTTCCTCTGGCCTCTGTATGCATGTGCACCCATGGGTACATTTGCCTACATACTTGCATGCTACACACATGCATGCACACACACACATACACTTTTGTGTGTATGTGATACTGAAGATGGAACCCAGCACCTCATGCAACAGAGGCCTGTTCTCCACTGAGCCACACCCCAACCATTTTCTTCAATGCATGCTCTTAAAAAGAGAGAGAGAGAGAGAGAGAGAGAGAGAGAGAGAGAGAGAGAGAGGAACCTAAAATGGATGAAAGACACTTTAAGGAAATGTTCAACATCCTTAGTCGTCAGAGAAATGCAAATCAAAATAACTCTGAGATTCCATCTTACACCTGTAAGAATGGCCAAGATCAAAAACACTAATGACAACTTATGCTGAAGAGGTTGTGGGGGAAAGGGCACACCCCTGCATTGCTGGCAGGAATTCAAGATGGTCTAGCCCCTTTGGGTGTCAGTGTGTTGATTTCTCAGAAAATTAGGAAACAACCTTCTTCAAGACCCAGTAATACCACTTTTGGGTATATATCCAAAGGATGCTCAATGGTGCCACAAGGACATGTGCTCAACTATGTTCATAGCAGCATTGTTTGTGATAGCCAGAACCTGGAAACAACCTAAATGCCCCTCGATCAAAGAATGGATAAGGAAAATGTGGTACATTTACACAATGGAGTACTACACAGCAGAAAAAAACAACATCTTGAATTTTGCAGGAGAATGGATGGAGCTAGAAAACATTATTTTGAGGGAGGTAACCCAGACCCAGAAAGACAATGTACTCACTCATAAGTAGTTTTTAAACATAAAGCAAAAAAAAAGTCCACAAATCACAATCCCAGAGAACCTAGACAACAATGAGGACCCTAAGAGAGACATACATAGATCTAATCTATATGGGAAGTAGAAAAAGACAAAATCTCCTGAGTAAATTGGGAGCATGGGGACCTTGGGAGAGGGCTGAAGGGGAGGGGAGAGGCAGGGAGGGGAGCAGAGAAAAATATAGAGCTCAATTTAAAAAAAAAAAAGATTTTATTTTTCAGTTATGAGTCTGTGTGTATGGGTGCAATCCCCACAGAGGACAGAAGAGGGCATCTGAGTCCCTGGGCCGGGAGTTACAGGTGGTTGTCAGCCATGCTACACGAGTGCTGTGAACTAAACTGAGCCCCCTCTAAAGCAATATATGCTTCTACCCACTGAGCCCTCTCTCCAGCCCTGCGCTGGCTGCTCTTCAAGGCTCTCACTATACCCTCTCCACCCCACCCCAGGCTGCCAGGATTCTGGGTTTTCAGGATGAGATCTTGTGTCTGTTTTTATCCAAATTCCCAGTCTTGGGGACCAGTGGGCTTGACTGGTGTAGCCTGGGAGTTGTCGTCAGGAAGTGGGACAGACTGGGCACCGTGGCTCATATTGATCTCTAACCCACGCTTCTTAGGAGATTGAGGTGGGAAGATTATAAATTCAAAGCCAAACTCCATCACAAAATAAAATGAAGTAAAGGACTAGGGTTCATCCTTAGCACCAACAAAAGGAACAGCGACTGGGCAGGGGGCACCTGTGGGATCAGTTGAGTTCCTAGAAAGCTGGGAGCGTCCGTGTGAGCAGGCTAAGACCACTTGCTGGGATCTGCTGTCACTGAAGGCAGTTATGATCCCAGCTTTGTACTACAGCTGTCAGATTTTAGCAAACGTGTTCGTGTGTTTCAGACAAGGTCTCACGTAGTCCAGGCTAGCCTTGAACTCTCTACATAACTGAGGATGACCTTGAACTTCCTGATCCTCTAGCCTGAACACACCTTCCACACGTCACCTCCTGGCTAACATTGGTGTCCTTTGAATAAGTCCCCCAGGAGCCTTAATTAGAAAAGAAGCCACACCCTGGTGTTTTATGAACCCTGAAGTCGAGCTTTGCAGATCTGTAGATCGGTGTCTCTGGGACACCCATGTTTCTTAGTTTTTGCAGTGACACCCTGCTGCTTTGGGTCACTTTATTCTCTCATATTTTTGTGTTCTCACTACCTTCTGTAAAAAGACGCTGGCCAAGAAGATGACAGTCCTGTATAAGCTGGCCCGGGAGCAGCTGTCCAAGCAGCACCATTACGACTTTGGGCTCCGGGCCCTGAAGTCCGTGCTGGTCATGGCTGGGGAGCTGAAGCGAGGCTCTGCAGACCTGCAGGAGGTAGGCTGTGCAGTGTCTGTGGCTGAGTGTGGTTCCGTGCAGTCTCCACCCGGAAGGCGGAAGGCGAGGTGGAGGACATGGGGCTGTCCCTCCGTTGGCTGTATGGCTTGGCTTTGCTCTTCTCATGGTGATGTTGTCTTCGGAGACTTGTTACCTTCAGATCAAGTTCAGAGTCCGTGTGGCAGTACCAGTATTCAGGGTGCTTCTGTAGCGACTTTCAGCCTGTCATCTTCGGGGGACAGGGAGGCAGAGGGGCAGAGTAGCCTTCTGTTGAAGGGGGAATGTGAGTTCCTCTTCAATTAGTGAGGATTGATTGCACATTTTTAAAATTTTTATTTCTTTTTCTTATGTGTGGGGGTGTTACGTCTGCATATATGTACCACATGTATGCCTGGTACTCTTGGAGGCCCTAGGGTTACAGATGGTTGTGAGCTGCCATGTGGGTGCTGGAGTTGAACCTGGATCCTCTGAAAGAACAGCCAGTGCTCTTAACCACTGAGTTATGGCTCCACCCACTGGGCATATATCCTAACGGGACTCAGTGAGATGTCTCACAGGTACACACGGGCTCTGATCAGAGCCAGCGCCTCCCCACTGACTTCCTCTTTATGGTGAAACAGAGAGAAATTGTCACATCGCTGGCGTTCTGAGGGCAACGTTCTTGCACAATTTCCCACCAGTGATGATGTTGGACATTTAATTTTTGTTTGGATGTAAAACTCGACATCTTACATTCCATTTTTAATTATTTTTTTTCAAGACAGGGTTTCTCTGAGTATCCCTGGTTGTCCGGGAACTCACTTTGTAGACCAGGCTGGCCTCACCTCAGACTCAGAGCTGCCTGACTCTGCCTCCAAGTGCTGGGATTAAAGGTGTGCACTATCACCGCCACGGTTTACATTCCATTTTTATAGGTTTTATTGTGGATTTTTATCGTCTATAAAACCTTGGAAAAAATGAAAGGCAAATTCCAGAAATATCTTTGATATTTTATGTAAATGTTCATATTTCATTTTCATAAAAATATTTTATGAAAGTGGCTTATGCCTTATAATACTTTCTACTTTATATTAAATCATAATTAAAACATGTTTTGAGACAAGTTCTCATTATGCAGTCCTCCCTAACCTTGAACTTGCTGCATAGACCAGCCTGGCCTCCATTTCACAGAAATCCATTGTCTCTGCTCCTGAGTGCTGGGATTAAAGGTGTGTGCCACTGTGCCTGGCCAAAATTTTAAATTTTTAAAAATTTTAACTGGGGATACACCTCAGTAGTAGGCATTTGCCTAGGTTCAATCCCTATTACAGCCCCCAATTTTCTTTAAAATATATAAACCTATAACATATAATGTATAAATTTATAACATATAATATGTACAAATCCATAACAAAATATGTTTTGTTATATATTATGTTTTTTCAGGGGGTGTTGAAACAGGGTTTCTCTGTGTATCCTTGGCTTGCTTTGTAGACCCACTGCCTCTGTCTTCCAAGGACTGGGTCCAAAGGCATGCATCACAGTGCCTGGCATATATTATGCCTTTTACCTTTGTTTATTTAGTGTGTGTGCTCGTTCCTCATCCTGTGCTTGTGGAGGTTAGAGAAGAATTTGTCAAAGTGAGTTTTCTTTCCAACTTGCAGGCTCTGGGGATTAAGCACAAGTCATCAAGCTTGGGGCTTCTCGTCTGCTGAGTCATCTTTCCATTCCTCATTACATATTTATGTTAGAGATATAAAATCTGTGACTAAGCACATTAAATTTTAGAAGAACGTTCCATGCTGTTGGGAAGGGGGGATGTCCCTGTGCATGCTGGGTTCTTAGGCAATCCCTCATCCTCTGGTCTCTCCAGGATGTGGTCCTGATGCGGGCGCTGCGGGATATGAACCTACCCAAGTTTGTGTTTGAGGATGTACCCCTCTTCCTGGGCCTCATTTCTGACCTGTTTCCTGGGTTGGACTGCCCCCGTGTGCGCTACCCGGATTTCAACGATGCCGTCGAGCAGGTGTTGGAGGAGAATGGCTACGTGCTTCTGCCTGTCCAGGTGAGCAGGGTGCAGGGTGCAGGGTCTGTCACTCACACTGGCCTGGAACTCACTGCAGAACACAGGCTGGCATCAGACTCCTGGCTCAGTCAGTGAAGTGCTTACCACACAAGCAGTCAGACTTGAGTTCAATTGCCCAGAACCCACGTAAGAAAAAAAAAAAAAAAGGCTGGGAGCTGGAGAGATGGCTCAGAGGTTAAGAGCACTGCTTGCTCTTCCAAAGGTCCTGAGTTCAATTACCAGCAACCACATGGTGGCTCACATCATCTGTAATGAGATCTGGTTCCCTCTTAACTGGCCCACAGGCAGGCAAACCACTGTATACTTAATAAATAAATAAATCTTAAAAAAAAAAACTGGCCGGGCGGTGGTGGCACATGCCTTTAATCCCAGCACTCAGGAGGCAGAGGCAGGCAGATCTCTGTGAGTTCGAGGCCAGCCTGGTCTAGAAGAGCTAGTTCCAGGACAGGAACCAAAAACTACGGAGAAACCCTGTCTCGAAAATTAAAAAAAAAAAAAAAAGCTGGTCTCAGCACACATTTTAAAACCATCTCTAGTAGGCTAGCCTGGTGGATCCCTGAAACTTGCTGACCAGACAGTCTAGCCACATCAGTGAGTCCCAAGTTTAGTGAGAGACATGATCTCAAAGAGTAAAATGGAGAGGAATTGAGGATAATAGCCGCTCTCCCTCTCCCCCATGAAAACACACACATTCCTGTCAGGAGTGTAAAATAACACACTGCACTGGCCAACAATCTGCCAGCTCTTCAGCAAGTTACACCCCACTGCTCAGGCCCAAGAACAGTGAGAACATGTCTGTGCACGTGAGTGAGCTCCCGAGGTCACATATTCCCAGTGGCTCAGACGTGGAAACCAGTGTCTGTCAACTGACAGATGCGTGTGGTCTAGTCATGAAATAAAATAGTATTTAGCTATAAAAGGGACAGAGATGGGCACCGCAGCACATACCTCCAGCACTCAGGAGACAGTGGCAGGAAGGCCAGGAGCCCGGGGCCAGCCTGAGCTACGCTACACAGGGGTTGGTTCCCTCCTTTCACACGCTCAGGTCATAAAGCTTTCTGAAACACCTTGACTGCTCAGTCAGCTCACCAGGTCTGAACTCCATCGGAATAAACTGTTGTTATTACTATTAATGATGATGATTATTAGTTTTAAAAGCTATGCTTAGCACGACTGCCCACGGCTTTCCTGCAGGTGGATAAAGTGGTCCAGATGTTCGAAACCATGCTGACCCGCCACACGACGATGGTGGTGGGGCCCACAGGAGGCGGCAAGTCTGTGGTCATCAATGCTCTGTGTCAGGCCCAGACAAAGTGAGTGTCCTGCTGGGGTGAGGGCGTTTGTCAGGACGGCGTCTTGGGAAGTGTTTGGTGAGAGCTTTGGCCGTTCATCTCATGGGATGTGTGTCTGTCCCAATCATGAGTTGTTTTCTGAGTGATGAGACCTAATACCTACAAAAAGAAGATTATGGGGATGAAGGACTTGTTCTGGCTCAGGGTTTAAGAGGATGAAATCCGTCATGGCAGTGAAGGCAGGCACCGTGGAGTCCCTGGAGGCAGGCGGGCAGGAACATAGCACTGAGACTTCCCACACCTGGGAGGACCGAAAAGCAGAGAGCCGACAATGCTGGCATTGGTAATGGGCCTTCCTTTGGGCTGCCAGCTCCTGAAAAATGACGCAGAGACTTTTTATTAATTATGAAAGCTTGGCCTTAGCTTAGGCTTGTTCCCAACTAGCTCTTAAAACTTAAGTTAACCTGTTTATATTAATCTACATTCTGCCGCGTGGCACATTACCTCTCCTCGGTGCCATTTTTTTTTCTTTTTGTTTTTTTTAGAGACAGGGTTTCTCTGTGGCTTTGGAGCCTGTCCTGGAACTAGCTCTGTAGACCAGGCTGGTCTCGAACTCACAGAGATCCGCCTGCCTCTGCCTCCCGAGTGCTGGGATTAAAGGCGTGCGCCACCATCGCCCGGCCTCCTCGGTGCCATTTTGACCGACTTCCTCCACATCTGGCTGGCGAATCTACCATCTCAGATTCTTCCCAGAGTTCCTATCTCTGATTGAAAGTATTGCTTGTCCTCTCCTGCCTAGCTATTGGCCATTCGGCTGTTTATTAAACCAATTAGAAGATGCCTTAGGCAGGCGAGGAAAGACAGCAACACAATAGCACACTGTGTGATCAAATTTTCACAACAGACACTTGATGAACGTTCTCCTCTTTCCAATTTTATTTTCTCTGGCACCCCAGCCCATGGGATGGTCCCACTCACATTCAGGGAAGATCATTCACCCTCGGTTAAAACTCTGAAAATGAGGCCAGGGAGACAGCTCAACAGTTGAGAGCACCTGCTGCTCTTGCGGAGGACCCTAGTTTGGTTCCCAGCACCCACATGGGTGCTGTGACTCCTGTAACTCCAGTTTCAGGGGATGGGATGCCCTCTTCTGTAGTGCAAAGACACATGTTGACAAAACACTCACACACAGAAAACAATACATATTTAAAACTATTAAAAACTCCTCCAGAGACACACTTGAAGCTGTCTCCTAGGTGACCCCAAATGCCGCCACATTAACAATGAGGATTGGCCATCATAGCAACCCCAAAACTCAGTGTTTCTCATGGCTTCATTGCCAACTCAGAACACACAGTAGGCGCTCCTGCAGATTGTGACAGTCAGGTGGACTTGTGGAGTGAGCACCTTGCTGTACCTCTTAGGAAGACAGTGTCCAAGTTCAGTTACATCATCCCAGTACCTGCCATGGACAATGCTGGAGTGTCGCCCCCACAGACACCTTGTCACCAGGCCTGTGGGAAGGAGGAGGCGACTCTAACTTTTAATGTACTCTAAATCACATGGAAGGGCCAGTGAAATGGTTCAGAGCCGGTAAAGGTGCTGGCAGCCAGACTTGACAACCTGAATTTGAACCCCAGAATCCACAGGGTGGAAGGAGAGAACTGACTCCCAGAACTGTCCTCTGACCCCCCCCCAATAAAAATAAACTACAGTAATAATTACATAAATCACTAGAATTAGGAACATCCCAATGGCTCACTGTGGTGTGACAGTCTTAAATACTGAGCGGATTGTCTAGCTTCATGCTTCTCCCCTTGTCAATAGCTGGGCTCTAGACAGGCTTGGATGATTGCCAATATTCCAGGCAAACTCTAAATAGAGCCATTTGACCTGTGTGGCTCTAGCATTTCTAGGTCGCACAGAAAATCTCAGGACTGAGTCTGGGAGACTGCCTGAGATTTAAAGAACACCAATGGGTTGTATCAGCACAGGGTTTCCTTCAATTGGCAGTATAGTTGGAATCTACCATTACAGAGGGGTATGTGCTGGCCACTTGACTTATAAAGTGTGCAACACACAGAGCCAGGTGTGGTGGTGCAGGCCCACGATCTGGCAGGCAGAGGTAGGAGGATCACTATTAGTCTGAGGGCAATCCGGTCTACTTAGTAATTTCTAGGCTAGCCAGGGCAACATAAGGAGACCCTGCCTCTGACTTTTCTTACAAAACAGAAACACAGATCAGTTTTAGAGTGGACTCCCATCTGCACTTCCTCTCACGGGTCTCGTGTGTCCCCCTTTGGGGCTTTGTTGCTCTGAGCCATAGCTGAAGCTGCCTCTTTGGTTTAGGCTCGGGATAATGACGAAGTTATACATCTTGAACCCCAAAGCTGTGAGTGTTATTGAGTTATACGGCATCCTGGACCCCACCACTCGAGACTGGACAGATGGGGTGCTGTCTAACATCTTCCGGGAGATCAACAGGCCGACCGACAAAAAGGAACGGAAGTGAGTGTCTACCTCACTAGCCAGAAGCCTGGGTTAGAGGTCATTTCTTCGGCATCCTTTAATTTTGAGCAGTTTCTTAGAATTTTTTTCTGTACGACTTTGATGTTCCAGAATATTCCAGACCAGATATGTTATAGAAAGGTCAACAGAAGTGTCACAGGGATAGGGTATCTGTCTCAGCATGGGAAATGAGTGATGTCTGTATGTCCAGCTATTCACAGTGCTGTAGTCAGAGGTCTCTCTCCCACCCGCCAGCTCCCAAATAACCACGCAGCAGCCTTATATTACTTATAAATGCTTGGCCAATGGCTCAGGCTTATTATTAGCTAGCTCTTATAGCTAAATTAACCCATATTTTTTTTTATCTATGCTTTGCCACATGGTTCTTGGCTTGTTACCTCATTTTTTACATCTTGCTTCCTTGGCAGCTGACTGGTATCCCCCAGACTTTGCCTTTCTTCTCCTGAATCTCTTCTTAGATTTCTCACCTCGTTCTATCCTGCCTTGCCATAGGCCAAAGCAGCTTTATTTATCAACCAATGAGAGCAACACATATTCACCGTGTACAGAAAGACCATCCCACAGCACAGGGCCTTTTCTTCTTGATAAGGCATCATTTCCTCTATCTGTAGGGAGACACCTCAAGGGGGCGCTAGCACCCTGTTTCTCATCAACCCCACACCCAGTGGTTTGAATAGCAATTGTTACTTGTTTGAGTCAAATCTTTCTACTGTGGATGCAGATGGCAAGTCCCTGCTGTGAGGTGACAGAATTATAGAGTGTGGGTGGTAGCCACACAATGGAACCAGACACACGTGGCTTAGCCTCAGTTTGATAAGAGCCCAGGGGTTGTGAAGAGAACACACTTATCCTTAGGAACTACATGCTGAATTATGAGGGGGGAAAATTATCATATCTGTAACAGATCAAAGAGAGAGGGGAGGTAAGATGAGGGGGAGGGAGAAGAAAGGGAAGGAGAGAGAGAGACTGTGAATATAACACTTTGAGAATCTTCCTGGCCCCCTCTGCTATTTTCTTATGAAGAGAACCGGCATGGAATTAGGAACCATCCTGATAATCTAGAACAATCTTGTCTTGAGATTTATTTATTTATTTTATGCATGAGTGCTCTATCTCATGTATGCCTGCATGTCAGAAGAGGGCATCAGATCCCACTATAGATGGTTGTGAGCCACCATGTGGTTGCTGGGAATTGAACTCAGGACCTCAGGAAGAGCAGTCAGTGCTCTTAACCCCTGAGCCATCTCTTCAGTCCCCTTGTCTTGAGATCTTTAGCTAAGCTCTCCCTCTCTCCCAGCTAAGTGTAGCACATGGCAGCACACATCTGTAAACCTAGCATTTGGGATGCTGAGGCACAAGAGTTTTCAGCCAGCCTGAGCTACCTCATGAGACCCTGTCTGAAAATAAATTGGGCTGGAAATGGCTTAGTGGTTACTGTCACTGTGTGCTCTTCCAGAGGACCAGGGTTCAGTTCCCACCACCCACATAGCAGCACTCAGCTATCTGCATCTCCAGGTCCAGCTGCCCTCTTCTGGCCACCTTGGACACTGCATGCACACGTGGCACAGATGTTCATGCAGACAAAACACTCATACATATGAAATAAAAATTTAAAAATTTTTAAAAATGAAGGAAACAAAAAAGAAATAACCAAGTTTTTTTTTAAAAAAAAATAGTGATAAATTACAATTTATTCTTGTCTTCAGCTTTGCCCTCAGACAAAAATGGGGTACGGGGTAGTGGACCATTATACTTTCTGTACCCATGATACTGCTCACTCAGGCTTAGTAAATGATCCCCATGCGGAGATGTTGTAACTTCCAAGAACAAATGAAGATAAAGGCAGATAGTATGAGATGAAAAAGATGGTGATCGCAAACTTCAGGCAAAACAAATGGCTCTAAAATGAACTGTAGAATACTAGTTGGCTCTGCAGTAAATGTCTGCATATTAAAATAATGTCGGTAATGTGTACTATTGATGAGTTCAGCAGTGTATTAATCCAAGGATGGAAGGTCAGTTCACCAAAGGATGCTAGCTGGATTGTGTGTGATGTTCTCCAGGCCTCCAACATTAGCGAGTTACTCGGTATTTATGAACCACATGGTCAGACACGAGGGCCAAGGGAATGCCCTGGGAAGTCCTGGTTGGAAAGCCCTAGGACAGCGGGGACATTGGGGGAGCTCTGGGCTCTGTGACTTACCTCTCTTTGGTCACTGCAGGTACATTTTGTTTGACGGCGACGTGGATGCCTTGTGGGTGGAAAACATGAACTCAGTGATGGACGACAACAAGCTGCTGACCTTGGCCAATGGGGAGCGCATCCGTCTCCAGGCACACTGTGCCCTGCTCTTTGAGGCAAGCAGTGCTGAGAGCCAGACTTGAACAGGGGCCTTGCTGTTAGTGCCTTTATTAGGGTAGACGATTATGAAAACACAGAAGCTGATGAATGCCACGCTTTGATTTTTTAACATGACGTTTATCTACATTTGTGGACTCAGGTTTGTGTGTGGTCAGAGGCAACTTGTGGGAGTTGGTTTTTTTGTCCAGTGTGTGGGTCCCGGGGATTGAACTCGGCTTGTAAGGCTTGGTAGCAAATGCTTTACTCTCTGAGCCCATCTTATTGGCCCCAACCCTTTGTTTACCATCCTCTTCCCTTATCCCCTCTTTAAGCTAGAGTTGACTGCTTTCATGTTCGTTTGTTTGTCTTCCGAGACAGGCTCTCACTTAGGTAGCTCCAGCTGTCCTGGAACTCACTGTAGTCCACGCTGGTCTCGAACTCACAGAGATCCACCTGCCTCTGCTTCCCCAGTACTGGGATTAAAGGTGTGCGCACCCACACCTGTTTAGCTTGTCACTCTTTCTTTTACTAAATTTATCCATTAGTAGGGTTGGAACGATGGCTCAGTGGCTAAGCGTGCTTGCTGCTCTTTCAGAGGACTTGAATTTGGTTCCCAGTATCCACACTGGGCAGCTCACAAACACCTATCACCTGAGCTCTGTGGGATCAAAACCCCCTTTTCTGGCTTCCCAGGCACTACATGGACACAGTGTACCTACCTACACACGCACACATACACACACACACACACAAAGTAAAAATATGAGCTTTTAATTTATCCATTATTGCTGAACATGTTTGTAATCCCAGCGATTAGGAGGCCTCACAGGAGGCAGGAAGATTCCCATGAATTTGTCCCCAGTGTGGGCCACATAAGGAGTTCTTGGCCATCTATGAGTCTATAGCAAGACCTGATCTCACAGAAACAAAGCAAAAGTTAAAAACTTGACATATTATCTACTGACCGAGTCCTGTGAATCTGCTACCTCAGTTGTCAACCTTCCCTCCTCAGAACACGCATTTCTGAATTGTCTATCAGCGCACACCCCTGACATTGTTTCAAATATGGGAATAGTTACTGCAGAGCCAACTAGCGCACTTTAATTCCTTCTTTGTCTGAAGTTTGTAGTCACCTTCCCTTCCTTTCATGCTATTTGCCTTTATCTTGATTAAGAAAGTCTCCCTACCACGTCAAGAACCGAGCCCTCCTGTTTGTCCCAGAGACCTCTCCCCGACTCTCTCCGCCTCATTTTCTGTTATACTTGTTTATATCCTACTTTTGATCGGGCAGTCAACAACATTTATTTAGTGAGAAGACGTCACATCAGACATGGGTAATCTCACGGTGAACTCCATCTTCAGTTTAAAACCCCAACAGCTATACCGACTGTCTGGCATGGACTTCGTGCTTTAGTGAGCCTTTGCACAGGGAAAGCCCTGGCATGTGTGACCCAGGGCCTAGCAGCCATGTCCAGAAGGGTCACGAGCTGAGGGGTTCACTCTTTGCAGGTGGGAGACTTGCAGTACGCCTCTCCTGCGACCGTGTCTCGATGCGGGATGGTTTACGTGGACCCTAAGAATTTGAAGTACCAACCATACTGGAAAAAATGGCTGCAACAAGAAATACAAAACAAGGTGAGCACCATCCTTAGACAGCTGGAGCACAGCCAGCAATGCTGGACACCAGCCGGGGGCGTCTTTGAGCACCCAGCCCGAGGAGCCTTTGCGTCACGCGTGCTTGTGAGATGGGTGATTTCTTTGGCAGATTAGGCCAGGGATCAACTGATTTATGCAAAAAGGCAGATAGGAAACACTTTCAGCTGAACTTACTCATGTTTGCCGCTGGGGTGGGGACACAGCCAGAGATAATACACACAGAAGGACATGGCTGTAGCTAGCGGATGTTAACCCAGGTAGATTCTGGGTTTCAGTGTGCACACCTGGTTCAGATGGGTCCAGTTATGGAGAGAGGGGATGCCCCCTTCTGTGCCTTTGCTCGGCTGGACGAGTGCCGTGTGCAGACGAACCAGTTTGCCCTGCCGTTGAGATCTGATGGCTTCAGCTGACCGCTGGCCTGCCCACAGTGGCCCCAGCTTCACAGCAGGACTCACTGAAAGTGATGGCTGTGACAGGCATGTATGCATGGTGGCTTCAGTCCCATCCAGAGGCCGGACCTCGTTTTCACAGGTGGTTGAGATGTCTCTCTAGAAGGGCCACGAGACTGCGTGGATTGGAAAGCAGAATATTATTTTCCCAGAGTAGAGAAGGCCAGGTGAACCAGGGCCATCAGAAGCAATGTCACACGGGAGGATTTTCTTCATGGGACTCTTAAAGACCCACAAGTTCCTTGCTGGGGCACTGGCACCCTGCTGAAAGAGGACTTCTAGCTAAGATTTATTTTTTTTTTTTTTTTTTTTTTTTTTTTTTTTTTTGGTTTTTAGAGACAGGGTTTCTCTATGTAGCTTTGACCTGTCCTGGGACCCACTCTGTAGACCAGGCTGGCCTCGAACTCACAGAGATCTGCCTGCCTCTGTCTCCTGAGTGCTGGGATTAAAGGCGTGCGCCACCACCTCGCAGCTTACTTTACTTTTAATTAAGTACACACTTATGCATGCATACACACATACATACACACACTTTCATGCATATGAGTGCAGTGTCCATAGAGGCCAGAAAAAGTCATCAAACCCCCGAGGCTAGAGTTGCAGGCATTTGTGAGCTGCCCACTGTGGGTCCTCTACAAGAGCAGTACACCATCTTTTTGTTGTTGTTGTTTTTGAGACAGGGTTTCTCCATGTAGCCCTGGCTATCCTGGAACTCTCTCTGTAGACCAGGCTGACCTTGAATTTAGAGATCTGCCTGCCTCTGCCTCCAGAGTGCTGGGATTGAAGATGTGCGCCACCACCACCTGGCAACAGTTCACCATCATTTTTAAAATATGCATTTTATGGTTTCATGTGTATTAGTGCTTGCCTGAATGTAGGTATGGCACTGTGTGCATGCTCATGCCCAGGGAGGTCAGAAGAGGGCGTCAGATCCCCTGGGACTGGAGGCAGAACCTGTTGTGAGCCACCGTGTGGGTGTAGAGAATTGAACCCAATTCCTCTGTAAGAGCAGCCAGTGCTCTTAAGGCTGAGCCACGGCTCCAGCTTTAGTACATCTGCTGAGGTCATCACCACAGCTGTTTCTCGCCCTTTTCGGGACAAGAAAAACCCCTGATAACTTCCAGTTAAAAGGATCCCTGAGCAGGACCTGGTGGCACACACCTTTAATTCCAGCACTCGGGAGGAGGAGTCAGGTAAATCTCTGTGAGTTCGAGGCCAGCCTGGTCTACAAAGTGAGTTCCAGGACAGCTGGGGCTACACAGAGAAACCTGTCTTGGAAAAACAAAACAAAACAAAAAAATAGAAACAAAAACAAAAGGATTCTTGGAAAGGATTTGGGTCTCTCCTCCGCAGGTAGAGCAAAAGTATTTAAATGACCTCTTCGAGAAATACGTGCCCTCGCTCATCGACATGATCATAGAGGGGATAGTGGACGGGAGACAGGGAGAGAGGCTCAAGATGGTGGTTCCTCAGACAGACCTGAACATGGTAAGAACACTCCACTGCTGAGGGCAGGAAAGGCAGACTTCCTGAGAGAGGGACCACTGCGGTGGGGGAGGGGCTTAAAGGGAGCAGAGATGGCTGATGGGTGAATGTCAGGGTTCATTCTTGTGACCCCCCCCCATGCAAGCTAAGGGGCCAGGCTCCATGTGTCCAAACCAATATGGCGAGTGTCGATGCCCTCACCATGGGATAGGGAACCCCAGGACTCAGGACAGATTACATCATGGGGTTTAGAAAGAGGGGCTGAAACAGGCTTTCTGTGACCAGGTAACCCAGTTAACCAAGATGATGGATTCGCTACTAGAAGGGGAAATCGAGGACCTTGACCTGCTGGAGTGCTTCTTCCTGGAGGCTCTCTACTGCTCACTTGGCGCCTCCCTGCTCGAGGACGGGAGGATCAAATTTGACGAGGGCATCAAACGCCTCTCGTCGATGCCCACTGCAGACACAGAAGGGGTCTGGGCCCGTCCTGGAGAGCTCCCAGGTAGGAATCCTGACCCCTTCTTTGGTGCAGGCTTACAGAAGAGGTGGACTTGCTTCTCCTTGTTCCTGCCTGTGTCATGTGGCCGGTGCTATGCTCAGGGCTTCAAGTGTGTCACCTGCTCCAGCAGGTCAACCCCTGAGTCACCACTGCAGGAGGAGGCGGTGCCTCTGACTCCATCTTGGCCCCTTCTGCTCTGGCTCTGGCTGAGCTCTCCATACCTGACACACTCCAGGGTTCCCCATTTTCCTCTGGGCTCCCCCAAATGTCTCATAGACCAGCAGATAAGTCACAGGAGAGTACCTTATAAAGGGTTTAAAATTTTGCGTGAGTATGTGTGACCTTAAATAGAACCAGGTGGAGCCCACAGGTGGCCTTCCACTTGGAGAAGTGGTCTGAGAGATGGGTGGGCATGGCACACGTTTGAATGGGGATCCTGGCGAGGAAATGGTCTGGGGAAGGGGTGCAAATGGCGGGCGCAGCTCCAGCTCTGGAGCTATCTTTAACACCATGCTTCTTCTTTTCTTTCCCACCCTGTCTTTGCCAGATATCCTTATGGGTCATGAGTCATGGGTAACGGGGTCACGGGTCATACCTATATTTCTCCAGTCTTAGAATTCAGCATCTGCATCAAAATTTTCTGTTTATTTGCCCCTACCCTTGCCTGGACCACCAACATCTGTAACGGCAGGGTCATGGCCTTGCACTCGGGGTTGTGTCTCTAAGGAAGGGACTGGTGGCTAACTCCAAAAGGTAGCACTGGCTCAAAAGTCCCAGCATCAATTCTGAGTACTCTCTGAGGGCCTTTCCCGTGAAGGAGTAGCACGCAAGCCTGAGTGTGCTCCGAGGTGAACAGGCGGCTCATTCCAGATGCATTAGACCCTAGCCTGCTCCCAAGTCTATGACCAAAACAACACGGACCCTTGTTCCCCTAGGGCATCTTCCCACCCTGTACGACTTCCATTTCGATCCCAAGCGGAACCATTGGATCCCGTGGAGCAAGCTAGTTCCTGAGTATATTCACAGCCACGAGAAGAAATTTGTCGACATCCTGGGTGTGTAAGCAGCAGTCCCGGTCTCAGCTTCTTGGTGTGAGTGGGTGTGAGTGGGCGTGAGAAGATGACCATGGCCTCATTGGCAACTGAGCACCATCCGTGGAACTGGCTGGGAGTGTCTAGAGGGTGGCACCATGGGCCCCTTGGGGTTCCACTTTGTCCTACGCCTCTGAGCACCTCTGTGTGTGTGACCTGGGTTTTTCCTGCAAGCCGATGCCCGTGATAGCCTGTTCTCCACTTTCCTTTACATCTCCTAGGACACCCCAGCCACAGAGCTGGCTGGGCACAGGGAGGGCAGGAGGGGAGCCACAGCAGAGGCTCACAGTGGGCATGGACCTTGAGTGCCCTGATCCACCCTTATGATAATATAGTAAGCATATCTGGTCCGGTGTGTGGTGTTTCCGGAGCAAGATACTTGCATTTTTTCAGCCCCCCTCCCCCGCCCTGCCCATTGAAGCCTTCCCCGGGAGAGTGGGTGGCCTGGGCCTGACTGTGATGATGCTACCTTCAGCAGAGGTTTTCAGGAAACCTGTCCCACAGGTGCCCGAGGTGTGAGTCGGGGAGAAGTGGGGTTTTCATTCTGAGTGCAAATCAGATGGAGTTTGGGGAGCAGGGTGGTTGAAGTCGGCGGAGCTGCCACATCATTTTGCCAAGGAAATGCGTTATACTCCGTTATACACTTTGATTGGGCAGGTGTCAGGCCTTCAAAAGCCATGGGACGACTGGGAAACCGAGGCTAGACTTAACTCATATTCACCTTTGCAGCTGGAGCATGACTTAAAAGCAAAGCAAAACAAAATGCCAGGCAGTGGTGGCATACGCCTTTAATCCCAGCACTTGGGTTGCAGGGGCAGGCAGATCTCTGAGTTTGAGACCAGTCTGGGCTACAGAGCAAGGAGGACAGTCAGGACTACACAGAGAAATCCTGCCTCGAAAAACCAAGCCAGAACCAAAACAGAACTGTGCATGTGTGCATGTGTTTTGTGTGTGTGTGTGTGTGTGTATCCGTGTGTCTGTGGTACAAGTGTATGTACCTGGCCGCATTTGTGAAACAAACAGGCTGTCTGGTGTCTTCCTATATGCTATGGGCCTTCACGCCTAGAGACAGGTCCCCTCACTGAGCCTGCAGCTTGTCCTGGTTATACTGTCTGGCCAGCAAGCTCTCAGGTTCTGCCTGACTCCATTCTCTGATATGGATGTTAAAGGCACACACAGTCACACACAACTTTTAATGTACATGCTTGAGATTTGAATGTAGGTCCTCATGCTTCTAGAGCAAGGCTGTTACCCACTGAGCCACCTCTCCAATCCCAGAGCTCAGAGTTTGCTGCCTCTTACTGAATGCAGGGGACTCCGTGTGAGTGTCAGGCGGCCGACTGCTCAGAGTTCCCGTGACACCCCGATTCTTCTATCTTTCAGTTCATACAGTGGATACGACCCGCATCACCTGGATACTGGAGCAGATGGTTCAAATCAAGCACCCCGTTCTTTTAGTGGGCGAATCGGGCACTTCTAAGACAGCCACTACCCAGAACTTCCTTAAGAATCTGAGCGAGGAGACTAACGTAAGCATTTGTATTAGTTACCTGTTTCTGTGTGACAAGCTGCCCCAGCTCCCAGTGGCTTAGTGCCACAAGCCCTATTACCTCTCCGTTTCAGGAGTCAGGACTCTGATGTGGCTTAGCTGGGTGACTCAGGGTCAGGTTCCCTCATGGAATTGTAGTTAAGGTTGGTGAAGGCTGTGTTCGTTTGAAGACCTGACTAGGGCTGGATGACCTTCTTCCAAGACAGCATTTCATGTGACTGAGAGTCTTAGATCCTCAGCGTGGGCCTCTCCGAGGAATGGTTGACTGTGCTTGTCTTAGACCTTTGCTATAACAGAAGACCCGAGACAGGGTAGGTTACAAAGAGTAGCCATTTACTTAACTCAGCTCTTGGGAGCCAGGAAGTCCAAGAGCATGGTGCTGCCGATGGACAGGCGAGGGCCTTTGTGGTGCGTGGGGCCATGGAGGGTGGGGAAGCAACACATGGTGAGAAGGAGCAAGCCTGCCAGAGGAGGCCACTTTCATAAAAGACAAGCCAGTGAGTCTTACTCTCCATCCGATTGCCCCCAGCGGTCTTGGGAGCCTCCGAAGCTCCAACGCATGGGAGCCTGGGCGTATTCCGTCCACAGCAGTGACATGCAAGGGCAGCTGGCTTCCTTCATGGCAGAAATCCACACGGCAGAAGCCACCAAGTTCCTTGTGACATGGTGTCAGAAACTCGCTATACCAGAAATGCAGACAAATGTGTTTCTTTTCACAATGTCAGAGTCTACTAAATAAGAATAAATTCACAAGGTTTAGAAGTTTTGTTTATTTTTTTCGAGACAGGGTTTCTCCATGTAGCCCTGGTTTTCCTGGAACTTGCTCTGTAGACCAGGCTGGCCTCAAATTCTGCCTCCAGAGTGCTGGGTTTAAAGGTGTGCGCCACCACCACCTTGCCAAGGTTTAGCAGTTTTAATGACAGTTATCACAAGGTCCACCTACCTTGATAGCCCGGGCAAGGTGATGGCAATTCTTTATCCCTGTTTTCATGATTGATACTAACTCTCACAGCACACCTTAGATATGCCATTTATCTGTATGTTTATATATGGATGACAGAGGGGACACAAATCAGAGAGGCCACAGCAGAGCTCAGGGGGTCTCAGAAGTGTGTTGAGAGTCTGTATCAACGATAATGAACCCAATCAGAGCCACAGCTGTGGAATCTTTAGCCGCCAGGTTAAAAAACTGAACTGGGTCAGGAAACAGCAGGCCAGGTCCAGGGCCAGACAGGTGAACAGATGGACCGGCCAACAGTTGTGTCAGCAGCAGGGGACAGAGCCAAGTCAGCAAGTCCTTGGTCCTCGATGCGTACTAGGTGTCACTATAGGTTGGTGTGCAGCCGGGCCATGGTAGTATTGGGTGTCATGATAGGTCAGTGTGCAGCTGGGCCATGGCAGTATTGGGTGTCACGATAGGCTGGTGTGCAGCCAGGCTATCATAGTATTGGGTGTCACGATAGGCTGGTGTGCAGCCAGACCATCACAGTATTGGGTGTCGCAATAGGTCGGTGTGCAGCTGGGCCATGGCAATATTGGGTGTCACGATAGGCCAGTGTGCAGCTGGGCCATTGCAGTATTGGGTGTCTATCACTTTTTGGGGTCCAGACAAGTGAGTTCCACACTTTCTTTGGTCTGGTCTGATAAGTCCTTGAGCCTGGTTTCCCTGACATTATTTTAATACATTCATGTGCCCCCACAGTTTTGGTTCTCCCCAGTAAACATGGTTTGTTTTCTACTCCCAAGAATAAGTCCTTATTCAGTCTGTGCTGGATGGGGGGTACATGGCCGATGGTGCCATTTCTGGGTCCCCCCCCCCCGAGATTATAGGAATCCTTCTCCCTCAAAATGGAGTCAAAAGCAGCTTGTCAAACAGAGTTTCCTAAGACCGTGTACAGCCTAAAGGACCACTGTTTAATACAATAAGGAGCTACGAGAGAGGACATGGACATAGCCTTGCCTGTATCACCTACTCATATTCTTTCATGCTACATGGGTCACACAGGGAGTCCTCTGAGCCCCTCAATTGGCCTTGGGGTACAGGTGATGGAGGGCCGTCATGGAGGTTAGCTGTTACATTCTCTGTGATCCTTTTGCGTGTTCTAGAACTTGGTCACTTGTGGGAAAGTCTGCTATGAACAGGGCCCCAGGCCAGCCGCTAGCACAGGAGAAGTTGCAGCTCACATAGACACTCTCTGGGGACTCACAGTGGGGTATGAGGGGGATATCGGGAACATGAGGGTGTATCCAGGTGGCAAGAAGGAATCTGGGTGCGTTCTTCACACGCTGTTACGCCAAGGGACCTGTTCATGCTCTCTCCACCCCTCTACTGGCTCTAACCCTTTTCTGTTCTCACAGCCTGCTCTTGTTGATTCTGTCCATCCTGTGCTTTTCTGTTTTGGTTGTCACTATGCTGGTGACACTCTTTTCTGTGATAAAACACCATGACCACAGCAGCTTAGAGAAGGAAGAATTGATTTCGGGGCTTAGAGTCAAGAGGGATGAGTCCATCACCATCATGGGGAAGTGTATCAGAAGTACCAGGCATGGCGGAAGGAAAAGCCGAGAGCTCGCATCTCAACCATAAGCAGGAAAGAGAGTACTAATGGGAATGGCCCGTGGCTTTTAAAATCTCAAACCCTTCCTCCAGCAAGGCCACACCTCCTAAGCTTCCCCAGACATTGCCAACAACCTGGGACCAAGCATTCAAATGCCCCAGACATCTTATTCAAATCTCTACAGTAAGAGATGCTTATTTCAGCTCTGGAACCTCAGAAGACAGAGACAGTTGGATGTGGTGGCACACGACTTAATCCCAGCACTCTGAAGCAGAGACAGATAGGTCCCCGTGATTACTAGGCTAGCCTGGTCTACATAGTGAGTCGCAGGATACCCACAGCTACATAGAGAGACTCTTTCTCAGCAAAGAAGGCAGAGATGTCCCCTGCTTCCTTCTCTGATGCTTTTAATTCTGTGCCTTCTCTACTCCTGTGGCTTCTGGAAGCCACATGGGCCTCAGGGACATCTCTGCAAGAAATGTTGGATGGGTCAGGCCTGCCTGCCTCTCTCCTCGGATGTAGTCCCTTGCAATGTGGTGTATTTAGTTTTAAAGGTGCCAGGTGGAGGGCACAGGATTGCTGTTAGAAGCTGAGATTTATAGGCCTGTAGAGGCTTCAAGAGGAATCCGTGTCCCGAGTCTTCTGTGTGCATCTTCGCTTTCCTAGGACCCTGCCCCTAGACCTCACTGGCTGCAAGCAGACAGACACACAACCAGTTAGCTGCTGACCATTGGCACACAGGCGTGTGTACTCGTGGCCAGCTGGGTTGAAGGACATTTGAAAGTCAGTTGTTCCCAAAGTGTGGTCCTCAGACAACTTTGGCACCAGCTGGGAAGTTGTTTAAATACTTCACTGATTGAACCCTGGGGGCTACCGAGCTGTGTGCTTCAGCAGTCCAGTTGGGCTGGTATATGGCTGAATATGAGCATCTGTATGTGTGTGAATGTGTGTGTGCGCGCGCGCTCGCGCACTCACACACACACTCTATGAGTATAGTATGAGAATAGTTCCTCTAAGGGCACAAGAAAGAGACGGAAGAGAGGGAGAGAGACCTTTGTCTCTGGACAAAGAGAACATTTTCCCTCCAGCGAGGAGGTCCAGCAGGAAGCCTCAGGTTGGTTGTTCATGCTTTCTTTAGCCTCCGTATTAGCCTGCAGTTGCCTTGAAAGCAATTTATGTTTAAAACTCCTCTGCCATAGAGAGTGATACAGCGGTTGTCGTTGAAGTCATCTCTTCAGGCTCTTAAAGGTCAGACAGTTGCCTTTTTAGAGGCCACCAAGGTAGAATGACACTTCCCCTACCACATACCATCATGTGGTTTTCTAATCACCCGGGTAGAAAGGACCAAGGACCTGCATCAGTTCTAGACCGTCAGTTGGAAGCCAGTTGTTTGCCCTCTGCTCTGTTGCAGATTGTGCTGATGGTCAGCTTCTCCTCACGCACCACATCCCTGGACATCCAGAGAAATTTAGAAGCAAATGTGGAGAAGCGGACAAAGGACACATATGGGCCACCCATGGGGAAGCGCCTGCTGGTGTTCATGGATGACATGAACATGCCAAAGGTAGGTGGGGCTTATAGAGATGGGATAGGTCTGTGTGTGTGTGTGTGTGTGTGTGTGTGTGTGTGTAAGTTCGTGTCTTTTAAGATTTGTATTATTTAAGACTAATTTTAAATTTTATTTTTATGGGTGTGTACCTGTGTGTATATATGCCACATGAGCCCAAAAGACCAGAGGAAGGTGTCATCCCCTGGAGCAGGAGTTACATGTGGTTGTAAGCTTCCTGACATGGGAGTTGGGAACAGAACTCTGATCCTCTGGAAGAGCAGCAAGTGTTTTCAACTCTGTACATCTGCACCATGTTTGACCATCTATACATTGTCCACTCGTGGATTCAGTCACCCATTTACCTCCTGTTTCATTTACCCACAGACCTGAAGCTTTTATTCTTCATCCGTATGTTAAGAAATCTGTAAAAACCCATCCATCCACCTATTCATCTACTCATCCACACACCTACAGAATCTATCCATCCATCCATCTATCCATCCATCCATCCATCCATCCACCTATCAATCCATTCATCCATTCATCCATCCATCCACCCAACTATCCACCTATCCATCCATCCATCCATCCATCCATCCATCCATCCATCCACTTACCCATCCAAACATCCATTCATCCACCTATCCACCTATCAATCCATTCATCCACCCAAGCATCTATTCATCCATCCAACCATCCATCCATCCATCATCCATCCATCCAAACATCCATCCATCCATCCAAACATCCATCCACTTACTCATCCCTCAATTTACCGACTAACCATCCATCTACCCACTTACCTACATTGGGCGCCATTTTATAAACAGAGTCTGTACTTTTGTTTCCTGGCTGTCCAGACCCAAATAATCACACAGAAACCATATTAATTACAACACTGTTTGGCCAATGGCTCAGGCGTACTTTTAGTTAATTATCACATCTTAAATTACACATTTCTATTATTCTATATTTTACCATAAGGTTCGTGGTTTACCAGTAAGGTTCTGGTATCTTTATCCTTCTGCAGCTACATGGCATCTGCCTGACTCTGCCTTCTTTCTCCCTGCCTACCTATCTTCTGCCCTGCCATAGGTCAAAGCAGTTTCTTTTTTTAACCAATGGTAATAAAATATATTTATAGCATACAGAGGGGAATCCCACATCACCCACCCACCCACCCATCCATCCACCTACTCATCTGTCTATCCATCCACTTACTTATCCATCCATCCACCCATCCACCCACTCATCTTTATATCTATCCATCGACTTACCCATTCATCTACCTACTCACCCATACACCACCCACCCACCTACCCACGCACCTAGCCACCTACTTATCTATCCATCCGTCCACTTATCCATCCATCCATCCACCCACCCACCTACCCACTCACCCATCCATCCATTTTCTACCCATCCATCCATTCCATTTGTTGAACTCCTCCCAGGAACCTGGCACTGTAAGGCGTGTAAGCCTCAGCAGTCGCTGCCTTCGTGGAATGCAGCGTGGTGAAGGAGACCGATTTTAAGCCTCAGGTGTGAATAGGCAGTCATAGGCTTGGGAAGCCCAAGGAGGCCAACCCGGAATGCTCAGGGGGAAACAGGAGAGGTGAGCATTTGAGGTCGGCACTGCCTTGCCCAGCTCTGCTTTTCGATACTTCTCTTCTCTTTCCTCCCAGGTGGATGAGTATGGCACCCAGCAGCCCATTGCCTTGCTGAAGTTGCTGCTGGAAAAGGGCTTCTTATACGACCGTGGGAAAGAGCTCAACTGTAAGAGTATCCGGGACCTGGGCTTCATTGCTGCCATGGGGAAGGCAGGAGGGGGCCGCAATGAAGTGGACCCCAGGTTCCTCTCACTGTTCAGTGTCTTCAACGTCCCTTTCCCGTCAGAGGAGTCTCTGCGCTTGATCTACTACTCCATCTTGAAGGGCCACACCTCGGTAACTGGGCTCTCCCCACAAGTCTGAACTGGAGGAAAATGTGTCGGGTGGGAGCATGTGCAGGGTTGATTTATTTACCCTAGCCTGGGGTCTGTGCACTCCAAGGCTTTGTCCAGGAGGGGAGAGTGTGGTGTGAGGAGCAGGAAGAACTGTGAGCCTTGTAGGAAGCTATTTAACTACAGATGAGGTCATATACCACTGTTGAATACCCCGCAAGGCAATCAGAGCAGGTCAAATAGTGAGCTACACACACACACACACACACACGCACGCACGCACGCACGCACACACACACACATACACATACACATACACATACACGCACGCACACACACGCACACATGCAAAAAAAAAGTAAAATTATCTGGCGGTGGTGGTGCACGCCTTTAATCCCAGCACTCGGGAGGCAGAGGCAGGCGGATCTCTGTGAGTTCTAGGCCAGCCTGGTCTAGAAAGAGCTAGTGCCAGGACAGGAACCAAAAAAAAAGCTACGGAGAAATCCTGTCTTGAAAAAAAATAAAAAAAAAAGTAAAATTCACATAATTTAAAATTTATTATTTTAGCCATTTTAACACATACAATTTAGAAACATTTGGTCCATTCAGTCTTGCTAACTAGTCTCACTGTGTAAATAGAACACTTTTTTTTAACCATAGGAAACCTGTACCCATTACAGATTCCCCTCTCTCCAAGTCCCTGGAAGCCACGCAGCCCCTGAAGCCTGGCTTCTCTCACTTAGCACCAGGTTCTCAAGATGCATCCACGAGTCAGTGTTCCGCTCCTCTCCCTGACCAAACGCTAGTCTGTCATGAAGCCACAACATTTCGCTCATCCATTCTTCTACTGATAGACATGACGCTCTTTTCATTCTTTTAAAGAACTTTAATGAGAGCATCGGGGGTGTGAGCCGGAAACTGACATTCTGCACGTTAATACTTTACAAAAATATTGTTCAAGATCTCCCTCCCACCCCTTCGAAGTTCCATTACATCTTCAACCTCCGAGACCTGTCCCGAGTTTTCAATGGCCTTGTCCTCACTAATCCAGATCGGTGAGTTTGGGGCTTGTTTGTTTTACTGAAATATACCCTAAAACGGCCGTCGCCAAACTTTCACAGTGTTGCCCAAGACCACGGGAAAACACAGGTATTGACATCATGACTCATAACAGTAGCACAGTTTTAGCAGTGAAAATAATTTCATGGTTGGAGGTCACGACTACACGAGGAACTGTATCAAAGGGTTGGATGATGTTAGAAGGTTGAATGGCGGCTTTGGTTGGAACTTCTCAATGAATCAAACAGGTCACAAAAATGTGTCAGCGAATCACACAGCATCCGTGAGCGCATGGATGGAGAAAACAGATTGACCCTTAGGGTGCCAGCTAATGCTCCTTGACCCCCGAAGCTGGGTTGTGTACAGTGTCTTGGTCCCTCCAGTGGGATGGTTTTGCTGCCTTACCTGCTCAGCCCTGCAGCTGGATCTGCATGGAGCCTGCGGCTAGTCTGGCTACAGCATTTCCAGCTGGGTAGAGGATGGTGTATCTCCAGGAGTCGCCAGACACAACACAGAAAGGGTTAGGACTGGAAGAGTCTCAGGAACGCCAGACTCCCATCTTTCCCGGGCAGCTTCAGTCTCTGTGGATCTGCAGGGAGGGACTGAACTATGTGGGTCCACACCAGCAGCCGGCGACACTGAGGGACGGCAGAGGGCTCTTCGTGGTCTCTGACCTGCCTTGGAGGGCTGTGGATGGTTTACAGTGGCCGTCTTCCTGTTCCTAGTCTTTTGGACGGGGTGATGATGGCTCTGCTAGAATTAGAGAAAGTTCTAGAAGTAGGGCTAGGAAAAGGAGCAGCCCTGAGACTGATGCTAAGTTCACACAGGGTTTGGGCTGTTCATGTGACTGGCAAGAAGGCTCCATTTCCTCCTTACAGTAGGATGAGCTGTGGGTGATGACTGTCACCTCCATATTTAATTTGTTAGCTTCCAGATTGTGCTCCCCCCCCCCCCGTCCACCCGAACCCTCTCCCCCCAGGAGACCTGGTGACCGACAACATTGCCCTTCCTTCGTGTAGGTTTCAGACAGTGACTCAGATGGTCAGGGTGTGGAGAAATGAGTGCCTGCGGGTTTTCCATGACCGGCTCATCAACGAAGTAGACAAGCAGCTGGTGAGCATGCGCGACGCCGTAGTGTGTGGGAACCCCACATCAAGTCTGAGTAAGACACATGCCAGCGGTGCCGGCAAGATGGTTCAGTGGGCGCTGCAGCCAAGCCTGATGATCCGAGTCCATCCCTGGGGCCCAGATGGTGGGAGGAGAGAACTGACGCCCGGAAGTTATCTTCTGCCCTCTACGTGTGCCCCAAGCATAAATAAATAAGAAAATGTAATTGAAAAACAGACAACCAAAAAAGAGGGTTTAGGAAAAAATAAAACCAAAAGAAACCAACACAGGTTTCTCATAAAACCAACTCATGCAGGATGTTCACAGCAGAAGGATAGGCGCCACTAGGGAAGGTCGAGGCAAATTATCCCACCGAAAACGGTGAATTCTCTGTTCCTGCCAAGTGTATGCAGCTGTGGACATGCCTGGGGCCTTAACCCGCTTTTGTTTCGAGGTGCAAGATCACATAGGGAACCTGGTGAAGGAGTATTTTAACGATGACTACGAGGCCGTGATGAGGGACCCCATCCTGTTTGGGGACTTCCGGACAGCTCTGCACGAGGATGAACCACGCGTTTATGAAGACATCCAGGACTACGAGGCCGCCAAGGCGCTGTTTGAGGTGCGGACTGCCTGCCTCCAGCTCTGTCCATACAGGATATTTCACACCCAGCAGCGGTTCACTGTAGCAAGTTGACACCCAGCAGACCGGAGATTTCCTTTAGTTTTAGTTATATACATGGTTGTGTGTGTGTATGTATGTGTGGTGTGTGTGTGTGAACATGTGTGGATGAAAGCGTATGTATGCATGCATGCTTGCATGTGAGTATAGGTGCCCATAGAGGCCAAAAGAGGGCATCAGACTCCCTAGAACTGGAATCACAGGCAGTTGTGAGCCACCTGCTGGAGTGCTCTAACCGCACTTGGGTCCTGGGAAGAGCAGCATCTCCCTGCTGAGCCATCTCTCCTGTCCCACGCCCAGCCGACTGCAATCCTGATGTCGGGAATTAGGGTCTCCGGCCCCACACGTCCTAATGATCCGACTACATACTCAGCCTTGGATGGCTGAGGCATCTTTTGTCTTTCCTGACGTGAAGGAGAGAGCCTGCCTCATAAAATGTGGTGGGCTCATGGACCCTTCCCCCTCAAGGAAATCCTTGAGGAGTACAACGAAGTCAACACCAAGATGAACCTGGTGCTGTTCGACGATGCTCTGGAGCACCTGACACGTGTGCACCGCATCATTCGGATGGACCGCGGCCACGCACTGCTGGTGGGTGTGGGCGGCTCCGGAAAGCAGTCCTTGGCCAGGCTGGCAGCTTACACCGCCGGCTACGAGGTGAGGGGGATTCTGTGTAAAGAGTTGGGGCAACGGCCTTCAGCTTTTGTCCCGTTTGCCTGAATTTGCAAAGCGTCTAACTTGCAGTGGCTTGAGAACTCCAGCTCAAAAGTGAGACACAGGCTGTGCCTGTGAATTTGGAACTGTGGGAACACGGGGGTGGGGGGAGCTTGGCCAAACCTGAGAGGAGCTGTGGGTGGCATTGCTGACTGCTTCGCTTCCTGTAACTCCAGCTCCAGGGGATCGGGATCCAGGGCTCTCCTGTGGTCTCTACAGGTCCTTGTATGTATGTGGTTCACTTACAGACATACACGTACACACACATAAACAAAAATCAGTATAAATCTTATAGAAAAGATGAAATTGCTTTAAAGAGCTGTAAATCAAGATGGCACGGTCCATCATTTTAAGCGTGCTTTTTGATCTAGCCACCGATCTGCGTGACCATCACCAGCCTTTGCGGTTGCAGGTCTCCTGCTTGTCCTCCCTGTGACTCCCAGGTGGCCTGTCCTTTCTCCAGATACACATTCCACCTAGGACCATGCACCTTTTATACTCACACCTTGACACGTGTGTGCGGCACACACAGGACACCTGTCAATCATCCGACTTCCATACTTGTGCGCCTCAAGCGACGTCATGTTTGGGGGCATGCAAACCTACGTGCTCTCCGGCTGTGCTCAGCGCTTTCCCCTGCCTCAGTAGGCACTGCTTGCCTGTTTCCCCAGGTGTTTGAGATCCTGTTGAGCCGAGGCTACTCCGAGACTAACTTCCGGGAAGATCTGAAGAGCCTGTACTTGAAGCTAGGGCTGGAGAACAAGATGATGATCTTCCTGTTTACAGATGCGCACGTGGCTGAGGAGGGCTTCCTGGAACTCATCAACAACATGCTGACCTCAGGTACTGCCCACGTGCTGGCAGGAATGTCCAGCTCCACCTCCCACTGCAGTCTGAGACAGGCCTGGCAATCTGTGCTGTCATACAAGCCCCTGCAGTTCTCAGCCGGGCAGCTGAGCCCTCCTCTGCTCCTGCTGAGGGTGGATCGGTTACCGTTCTCCTCCTTGCTATCAGGATTGTCCTGTGTGTCTCAGCTCTGAGAGACACTGTGGGCTTATCTCAGGTTTTGCAAGAAATACAGTGCCCATGACCTCTGTTGTCTGTGAGGTTCAGAGTCTGAGATGTGCAGGGGAGGGGTGGGTACGGAAGCACACACAGACACACAAGGATTGCAGCTGCAATAGTGAGACGAGGGGAGGAGCCTTGTGGAGCAGCACCCCGGAAGCTAATGTGTCTACTTCCTGTGGCCCTTCATCAAACGGCCCAAAGATGAGTTCATTCCAACATCCCTGTGAGTCTGCAGGGTTTCTGGAGGGGACACCGAGGCGTGAACAGGTCCAAGATGTACAAACTTGTCCTTTCCAGTTTACAGAGGCTGCTCTAGCCCAGGGCTCCTTGGCTCACACCACCCTACTTTCTGCTTTTGTGCCCCTCACCCGACCCCTGCTCTTCCCCCTTTCCTGTGACAACACCCAGCTGCCTGGGTCCCCTGCTTAGTCCCAACTGCAAAAGTAGTCCCTTTGGCAGGGAGCATAAGCAAACATATTTGTAAGTCCTAGGGTGGGGCTAGCTGTCTTTGGGGGCCGTCATTCATGCTCCCATATTGGGTAGAGGGGCCAGGAGGCCACTGCTGGAAAAATCTTACATGTACGGAGTTCCCTGTGCCAAAGGGAAGAGACACCAAGGCAAGAAGGACTCAGGAGTAGCTGGGGATGTAGCTCAACGGTAGAGTGCTTGACTAGCATGTGAGGTCCTGGGTTCGATCCCCAATACCAGGGGAAAACACACACACCTATGCTGGGTACAGCAGGGCATTGTGTATTCCCAGTACCCAGGAGCCTGAAGCAACAGTGCTGATTCTTGCATACCGTGGGTCCCAGAACCTTGACTAGAGATGAAGAGGGAATGAAGAAAGGGCTGACACACAGAAAGAATGTGGAATCGGGTGCTCCGGGCTTTCTCTGATGGAGAAGCCACAGTACCCCAGAAGCAAGCTCAGGGTGTTTTGTTGAACAAGGAGGCAGGGTTATTGCATGCAGATAAACATGGAGGCAGGGTTATTGCATGCAGGCAAACACGAAAGCAGGGTTATTACATACAGGTAAACATGGAGACAGGGTTTTTGCAAACAGGTAAACCCTGTAAAATGCCCATGCCAAACAACACACACTCACACAGCACTTCTTGCACCCTACATAAGAGGGTCAGAAGTCCAAGCTCATCCTCAGCTACATAACAAGTTCAAGGCTAACCTAGGCAACATGAGTCTCCGATTTAAAACAAAAGCAAACGGGAGTAGAGGGGCACCGGGATGCAAGGCCTTGTGGGTCGTTTAAAGATTGAGGCTACATTCTCACTGTCTGGACACAGTCTATGTGCTTTCTGGATGTCGTCCTGGCCACCTGTGGGGTCTGTACCAGAGTCGAGGGAAGAGTCAAGGCCTTTTGAGGGAGCTTAGCTCTGGTCACAATATGAACTCCTCTGCATAGGAACCCCTTAACTCAGATGTCTCGCCATCTGAAGACACGGATGCTCCCAGTCACCTACAGTCACACAGGCCTTGCCCAAAGCCTTGCTGGCATTGGGGGCTGTGGGTCTGTCCTGGGCCGTGCAGGATTCGACATTGTACACCAGGCTGGTCCCACTGGACATGGACCATCCCTGTTCTAGTTTTATTTCTGTTGCAGCGACAAACGCCCTGAGCACAGAGTGCCTTAGGGAAGGGCAGGTTCATCTGGGTCATGATTCCAGGTGGAAGTGGATTATTTTAGGGACAGTCACAGCAGCAGAAGCTTGAGCAGCTGGTCACCTCACACATAAAGTCAACGGCAGAGAGAAACGAATGTACTCACGCTGCCTGCTTCTTCCAGCTTTCTCCTGCCCTGAAGAGTTAAGGACCCTCTGCCTAGGGAATGGTGCTGCCCATGGTGGGATGAGTCATCCCACATCAATTAACAGACTAACCAGATAAAGACAATTACTCGATTGAGACTCTCTTCCCAGGTAATTCGACATTGTGGCAAGCTGGCATTTAACACTCACCAGCTCACTCCCCTCAAGTTGTGACCATGCAAACTGTCCTTAGACATTGTCAAATGCTTCTTCCGGGGAGATAAATCCCCCGTGACGAGAATATCTACTGTGAGAGGCACACATGCATGGACTTTAGTGCCCAGCACAGTCCTCAGGGCAGGCAGGGGACACTCACTTCCCACCGCTTTGATCTTGGTGTGTGTTGAGCTTGTCTTTTTCTCTTCCCATCATGCCTTGCTCCATCACCTCCTTTTGCACACAAGGAGGTCAGAACTCAGAGACCTGAAAACCCTTTACATCTTTGTCCTCCAGGGATCGTCCCTGCACTCTTCCCTGAAGAAGAAAAGGACGGCATCCTCAGTCAGATCGGGCAGGAAGCCTTGAAGTGTGGCATGGGCCCGGCCAAGGAGTCTGTGTGGCAATATTTCGTGAATAAAAGTGCCAACAACCTACACATTGTCCTGGGCATGTCACCAGTGGGCGACACCCTGAGGACCCGGTGCAGGAATTTCCCAGGTACCCTTAACCACTGCTGAGGCACAGTGTGTGCTCTGGGGACCTGGCACATCCAAGCTCCCTTTGGGATGTAGTACTTGAGTTGAAAGTTGGTCCTGCACCGTTGGCACACGTCCCGGGTCCCTCTCAATCCCCAATAGGCATGACTGGTGTCTTCCTGGCAGGTGGGTGTGCACATTCTCCCCAACTGCAAGGTGCATGGTGTGGAGAGGGTGCCCCCTTTTTCTCTCCCAGTGTTCCAGGGACAAGATGCTGAGACAAAATCATACTAGAATGTGCCCAGCTGAGCCACCATGCTGGTAGATACTAAAGACGGTGAGTGTGCGCTGGAGCAACTCTGGGCTGCACGATGATCCTTTTTCTCCTCTCTCTTCAAGGCCTAGTGAACAACACTGGAATCGACTGGTTCATGCCCTGGCCACCCCAGGCCCTGCATGCTGTTGCAAAGTCATTTTTAGGTAAGCTGCCACTGTTGCAAGGACAGCACGCTGGTCTCATAAAGAAGCTTGTCACTTTTCTGAATTTCAACCCAGCAGATTCCTTCACCATAGATTCCCGATGGCAAAGAATAGCTTTGTGTTGTTACTGTGTCTTGGGGTTATATTTTGCTCTAGTCCAAAGGGATCAGGGGTCTGTAAGGCATGGCCTGCTACCAAATGCGTCCCCTTGATTGTTTTCATGAATAAAGTTTTATTGGCCCACACTTCATGAACATTTTGTCTTTGGCACATCCTTACCCATAGACAATACTATTACTGTTCAGTTCTTTGTAGAGGAAAAACTGTACTTAAGGCCACTACCATGGTGGTGCCAGCACAATTTCTCCTTTTCTCTACATCTATTTTAAAAGGATGTATGACCAATGTCACAGGGTAGTTTTGTAAATAGTTCCAACTTTACAAGTATCTACCCAACAAACTCAATAAACAAATGGCCCTTAACTTCCAAACAAGCCCAACCCATAACTTCAGTTCTCCTGGGAAATAATGCTGTTCTTCTGGAAAGAAGCCAGGAAAACATTTGTTGCGTTATTGTGACTCAGAATCTGGCAGACTGCTACTGTGAAGGTCCATGTAGCAATATCTGCTTCAGTCACAGCTGCTGAATTCTGACAGTGTGCTTTGAGAGCCATCCAGGAGCACATGTAAATGTTTGTGGCTGTGTTACAATAAAACTTTATTCACAAGACACAAGTGGCGGGCCACACTTGCCCTGTGGGGCTGTGGCTACCAGCCATGCTGTGACTGTGCATGCTAGCTTCCATGGTATACAAGCCATCTTCATACCGCTGCAGCATGCAGTGTTTCAGTTCTGTGCACAAAGCCACCCGAAATTTGTTTACAGTTCTTTTCTCTTAGAATGTGTTTCCTGAAATTGAGGTGACCATGTTGCAAAGCTGGATGCTTGTGGGCAGACTTTTTCAAGCATGCTGTGTATAATCTGAGTCAAGGCAGAGCTGCAGAACGTGGACATACCAATGGTGTTTGCTCCTATCTTCCTTCTCTCATATCCTGTTGGAGGCTGCTGCATTTCAGGCCATCAGCTGATTCAAGTGACAAGATCTTGGCTCTGGGAGAGAGCACCAATCATTCCAATAGATTCCCACAAAGGGCCCCCTCTGCCAGTGTGTGCTAGACACTGGGACCTGTCACAGAATGGCTGCATGTACCCACCCAGCCGCCATGGGCGGAGGTTTCATGCTGGGCTTGAGATCAGTCGGGTTGATTGTGGGCCCCATTCCTGAAGCCCTAGCTTCTTTTGATGGTGCCTGAGTCCTGGGGAAAGGCAGAGGGTCAGTCTCCCAGGGCAGGAGGGCTGGCTCCTGTGTTACTGAAATCACCATGGATAGATCACAGGTCCCAGAAGTTTCCACAAGTAGTAGTTGCTCATTTCCTTTTTTAAAATAAGTTTTTTGATGAAATCAGTTTTTTTTAAATATTTATTTATTCATTATGGATACAATATTCTGTCTGTGTGTATGTCTGCAGGCCAGAAGAGGGCACCAAATTCCATTACAGATGGTTGTGAGCCACCATGTGGTTGCTGGGAATTGAACTCAGGACCTTTGGAAGAGCAGGCAATGCTCTTAACCACTGAGCCATCTCTCCAGCCCATGAAATCAGTTTTTATTTAGGGAAAATATGTCTATTGTAAACTGTCCCGTTCTATCTTGAGTGCACCTGGAACATCAATCACATTCATGGTGTCATGCAACCACTACTGCCATCTGTTACCAGAACTTTCCATCATGCTAAGCTGAAGCTCTGTACCCATCTAAACACTGAGTAGTAGGCAGAAGTTTCTATCCTCTAGCTGCTCCCAAATAAACACACTGAGGCTTATATTAATTATAAATCCTTGGCCAATAGCTCAGGCTTATTACTAGCTAACTCTTATACTTAAATTAACCCATATCTCTTATCTACACTCTGCCCAGTGGCTTGGTACCTTTTCTCAGTATGGCATACTACTCATCTTGCTTCTCCCTACATCTGCTAGCGACTTCTCTGACTCAGCCCTTCTTCATCCCAGCATCCTTATTTTGGTTTTCCCTCCTACACTTCCTGCCTGGCTACCAGCCAGTCAGTTCTTTATTAACCAATGAGAGTAATACATATTCACAGTGTACAGAGGATTATTCCACAGCACTGACTTCCCTCCCCCAGGGCCTGGATCCCTCTAACCTGCTTCCCGACTCAGTGCCTCTTCCCTGTCTATGTATCTCGTGTAAACGGACCCATGCACATTGCTTCTTTGTGTCCAGTTTCTTTCTTTTTGTATAGTGTTTCTGGACGGTCACTTATGGTATAACCCACATCAGTCCTTTGGTCCTTTCCAAGGCTGAACAGGACTCCACAGTGTGGGCATGCCACATTGTTACCGTTCAGAACCACTTTGCTCCTGTGAACACTGGCACCCACAGACCCTTTGGGGGCCGGGTGTCTGGTTCTTTCAGGTCAATATTTCACTGTTTGGGAGGCTGGTTTTTGTTGTTGTTGATGATGATGTTGTTTCTCTGTTTTCTGTGGCGCTGGCGCCTGTCCCCACAGCCTCATATGCTAGGCACTGAGCTGGCCCCAGTCCTCCTCTCTCTCCTCTCCTTCCTGTCCAGGGGACAATCACATGATTCCCGCAGAGAATATCGAAGACCTTGTGGAGCACGTGGTTATGGTCCACGAGTCGGTGGGTGAGTTCAGCAAGCAGTTCCAGCAGAAGCTGAGGCGCAGCAACTACGTGACGCCTAAGAACTACCTAGATTTTATCAACACGTACTCGAAACTGCTAGATGAGAAAACCCAGTACAACATAGGTGAGCAGGGTGGGACAAGGATGGGGCAGGGCATGGCTGTGTGGACAGGGTTCAGGAGTAAGGCTCATCTCTGCAAGGCCTGGCACTTTTTTTTTTTTTTTTGATTTCGAGACAGGGTTTCTCGGTAGCTTTTGGTGCCTGTCCTGGAACTAGCTCTTGTATACCAGGCTGGCCTCAAACTCACAGAGATCCGCCTGTCTCTGCCTCCCGAGTGCTGGGATTAAAGGTGTGAACCACCACCACCCAGCAAGGCCTGACACCTTTATGATTGGGGCAAAATAGAGCAGATTTGGGTTTTGCATTTGGGGCAGTTCATCCCTGTGGGTAAGACACTGTGTGCTCTTAGTTCTGTGTGGCCCTGTGTTTGCAGGTCTGTTTTCTTTGCCCTGGATGTCCCCTGGTCCCCAGAGTGCTGTGTGGGAAAGGGTTTTTGAGGAAGGGCTCTCTGGCGGCTGCTTAAGAGATGCCCTGTTAGCTGGGAGGTGTGGCACACACCTTTAATCTCAGCACTATGGAGGCAGAGGCAGGAGAATCTCTGAGTTCAAAGTCAGCCTGGTCTATAGAGCAAGTTCTAGGACAGCCAGGACTACACAGAGAACCTGTCTCAAAGCCAAACCAAAACAAAAAAGATGCGCTGTTTTTCAGCAGTGTCTTCATGCTTGCAAATGCCATGTGTGCAGTCTGAGAGCTGGAGCGGGTATGGCATCTTGTAGAAGTGAGGTTTTTCCCCTTCTTGGATGGATCCCAATGAGGCTAATACAGGCTCCTGCTCTGGAGCCTGGACCACTGACCATGTGCTGTTTGCCCCTAGCACAGTGCAAGCGTCTGGAGGGTGGGCTGGACAAGCTGAAGGAGGCCACCATCCAGCTAGATGAGCTCAACCAGAAGCTGGCCGAGCAGAAGATCGTCCTGGCCGAGAAGTCGGCTGCCTGCGAGGCTCTGCTAGATGAAATCGCCACCAACACAGCCATAGGCGAGTGCCTGGTGTGGACCACCTGCCCTGGGGCCAATCTGCACCTGAGGGCCCCGGGCTGCTCCAAGTCCCTGCTGAGAGACACTGTGCTGTGGGCAGCCTTGAGCAAGCCTTGAGGCACAAACCCACCACCATCACAGGACACCCACCCTGAATGTCTACATATTTGTTTGTTTGTTTAATTTCTAAATGTTTTGTTATTTTTTAGTGTTTTTTCCCTACTCATAGGCATCACTGTACTAATTCAATATAAACTCAGTGAGAGGCATGGCTTCTCATGAGGACACCAGATACTGGAACAGGTCTGTCCCCAAGCCAGTGTGACCTCATTTTTGCTAAGACATCATTTCCAATAGGGTCTCATTTTGAGGCTCTGCTGGCTGTGAGCCTGGGGGCCACTGCCTGCCCTCTTGTACTCCCTGAGCCCTGTGTCACCGTCACCTCTGAGCTCTAGCTACGGGAGGTCCCCATGACTTAGAGGCAACCAGACAGAACACGAGCCAGTGACAAGGTGACGTCAGGCTGTGACCAGTGTCACTAGGCAGAGAGGAAGTAAGACAGAGGGGCTATTGTCCCTAAAGGGGGCATCTCTAGGGCTGGACATGAGTGAGCATAAATAAAAGTGGTGGTGGGGGTGTCGAGAAGCAGAGGGTGGGGTGGGAGACGGAGGGCCGGAGAGGTGGCTCAGTGGGAAAGGTACTTGCTGCCACTCTTGATGGCCTGAGTTTGATCCTGGGATCCACAGAGAAGAAGGCACAGACTGATTCTGTGGCAGGGGAGCACAAATAAATCAAATGTTAGAGAAAGGGAGAGAGCGGGGGGGGGGCAGAAGAGAAGGGGAGCAGATCCATCTCAGCCATTCGAAGCCACAATGCCACCAGGGTCTTAGGCCAGCAGTGTCTAGGTCGGAGAGGCTGACACAGACCCAGAGGGTAGTATCCAGCAGGAAATGCCACATAGAGTCCTCTCTGTGTGAGCACCTGTGGCCATTGCAGTGACCAGAGCCCCCTGACCACTCTCCAAGATGCCCATGCCTGGCTTTGAGGTTCCCACACGACTTAGGTTCCCTCTGCTGCACCCCAGCATCTCACCAGCCCCTCCCTCTGCAGCGGAGGAGAAGAAGAAGCTGGCGGAGGAGAAGGCCATGGAGATAGAAGAACAGAACAAGATCATCGCTGTAGAGAAGACCGAAGCCGAGACAGCTCTGGCTGAGGTCATGCCTATCCTGGAGGCTGCCAAGCTGGAGCTGCAGAAGCTGGACAAGTCGGACGTGACTGAAATCAGGTACGCGTTACCACGTTTGCTCCCGCCTACACCCCTAGAGCTCACTCAGGGCCTGCCTTGGGCTCACCCCCCATTTACAGATAGTAAAGAGGCTCCCCACCTCCCGAGGCCAGGCAAACCCACCCAGGGAGTTCAGGCTCCACCAGGAGGACAGTTGTGAGCCACCATGTGGGTGCTGGGAACCGAACCCAGGTCCTATCAAAGAGTAGACGGTGTTCCAAATCACTGAGCCATCTAGCCCCAAGCCAGAGAATTTTAATATGGAATCAAGGCAACCAGTTTTACAATGTTCTGACTGTGGAATCAGGGTTTGGAGAGTAAAGTCTGCCTGTCCATCCTGTGGTACCTGTGGTACCTGTCTGTCTGTGGACCCTGGGGATTGAACGCAGTCATCAGCCTCGGCGGCAAGGGCCTTTACTGGCTGAGCAATTTCTCCCCCCCCCCCCAGTTTCAAAGTTTTAGTTCGTGTTTGTGCTCTAATACAGGATTACTTCCTTAGGGTTTTAAACTGGCCAGAGGCATCCCACTGTGTGGGTGCCAAACCTTATTTAGTGGGCACTCAGCTGTGTCTTTCCTTGAAACTTATCTTTTGTCCTTACAAAGGACACAGCAAACAAGCCTTCACAGCACCCTGGCACGTCCCCTGCAGGATACAGTTCCGGGGTGGGATGTCTGGGTCTCAGGGTGCACAGTGGACAGTCCCTCGACCCCAAGTCCACATCTGTCTGTACCTCTCTCCTCATAGCTTCACTAGAGAGGTGTCTGCATTTTTGCCCCTCTTCTAGCAGAAAAGAGGTCTGTGTGTGGTTTTTATTTAATTTATATTTCTCTCATTAGAGGTGGCCTTTTGCCTGTGTGGTTTTAAAAAAGGCAAGAGCATGGCCTTCCTTTCTGTGTTGCATTGTTCTTATTGCTGCTGTTTTAAGTCTCACAGTGTTTTTCCATAACACCTCTCTCTACCCCCCCCCCCACGCTGTGTGTGTGTGTGTGTGTGTGTGTGTGTGTATGTTTGTGTTCTGCCAGGGAATAAACCCCAAGGTCTCACCCAAATACGCTAGGCAAGTGCTCTACCACTGGCAGCCAGCCAAAGACTTTATATGAAATGGAGCGTATCTTACGTCCCTAAGGGAACTGTAGATACTTTCTGGATCTGTCAGTGGGTGTTTGACTTGGTGCCTGAGGCTTGTGTGTGCATTTGGTTCTCCCACACAGGCTTTGCTTACGTGGCATTGTTTAGGAAGACTTTCTTCTGTGGCATGTACATGGTAACGTGGGTAAGATGGCACTGTGAGGCCTAAAATAACACCCCCAGGGCAGCAGCTTGCATTTTTACATGTTTTTTTCTCTTTTTATTTAAATCTATTGTTAGTGTCTAGGGTGTTTTCCCTTGAGTTCAGTGTGCATCGGGATGCTAACCGCCCCCCAACAACTACAGTCTGCCTTTGATGGGTCAGTTAAAGGTCAAATATAATAAGCCGTCATAGCTGGACAGTTTCATAATCTTTAATTCCTTGAAATATCTATCTAGAATACTCAGTCCCCTCTGTACGAACCCTTAAGTATAAGTCAGAAGGTGATGGATAACAATGGTACATGTGTTCGATTCTCCCCTGAGGAGGAACAGCAGCCTCCATTTGTAACTAACTTGTGATGCTGAGGTGGTCCCCGGAGACTCTCCTGGACACCTTGTCCCACCCTCCTCCAGGAATGGAGTGGGCTGATGGCGAAAGGGGGCAATGAACTACACGTCATTGTAAGTGAGTCAGAGTTAATACCCCCAAATGGGAAGGACACATAGACTGCCCCTGGGATTTAAATGAAACGAGTTTGAGCCCACGGTAGCGATGGGATGCTAGCTGAGATACAGGACCCAGTCCAGCTCCGGGGTGTATTGCGGCTGTGCGTAGGGGCATAGCTCAGGTTCTAGAGGCTGGGGGTGTAGAGCAGGCCTGCCCCCACAGACTTGGGGAGCATCGTGTCTGGTATCTGGAGGCTGGACCCTGCTAAGGGAGCAAATTCCTGCCTGCAGCAGAAGCACAGGGTCGCCAAGGAGGAGGCAGGAACCAGTCCCCTCAGCCTTCAGCGGCCCGTTGAGTTCTGGAGGCTGACTCAAGCCATAAGCCTCAGGTGCCAGAGGTCCTGGCAAGTCCCAGAGGCTCCTCCTCCTCCTCCTCCTCCTCCTCCTCCTCCTCCTCCTCCTCCTCCTCCTCCTCCCCTGTTGAATTCTATTGCACCCTGTGCTCTGCAGCCCCGATTTATAGAATGCCAGTGGGGGGGAGGCGTTGAGGGGGAGAAAACTAGTCAGGGAAGAGGGACTAAACCTGGTGGGAGAGGGGGAGCACACTGGGCCACCAAAGCTTGCTAAGAGGTCACATCAGGTCCAAGGGGCTGTCTCTGCAGATATATTTCCTTCAGGTTCACGGTCCCCACAGGTGAGGCTGCTGTGTGAAACCCTATGTGTCCATTTCTCTAACTTGCAACCTCTGCGACAAAGATCACCACTTCTCAATAAGAGCACCAGACTCCAAGTACTGAAAGCATCTTATTTCATGGCTTGTAGAGCAGTGTGGCAGGCGTACTGACTGAGCACAGGGAGCAGACTTCACAGCCCCATGCCCGGCCCTCCTGCCCTATCCTCACGGGAGGAGTAACCTGGAGGCTCACTTTTACGCATCATCTCGGATGCCCACATTTGCCTCTTACACCATGAATCCAGGCATGGGTTCATCCCTATGTTTATTTTAAAACTTAAATGACCTTGTGACGTCTGTAGACCACTAGGCAAGCTTGGCTGTTAATTCTCTATTCTAGCCTGGGTAAGAGGGGTAGCTTAGAGTCTGGGTGTTGGTGGTAATGGCTGCAGAGATTCATGTGGCAAGGGCCAGTGCTTTCTGTTCATCCGTTTTAACATAAACTAGTTGGAGGCACTTTTGGAACCAACTATCAAATCTTTTTTCTTTCCTGAGACAGGGTTTTACTGTATAGCTCTGACTGTTCTGGAACTTGCTCTGTAGACCAGGCTGGCCTGTATGTGCAGGCTTTCTCTTCCCTGGCCTTCTTGACAGCCGTGTCTTGTTGCCTGCCATTAGCATCCAATGCCCTGCAAAGTCAAAACTTTCCCTGATCCCCCAAGGCTGGGCTAGTGCTGGCCTCACTCCCGGCTCTGCGCGCGCTCTCTCTCTCTCTCTCTCTCTCTCTCTCTCTCTCTCTCTCTCTCTCTCTCTCTCTCTCTCTCTCTCTTCTGTTTCTGCTTCTGCTTCTGCTGCCTCTGTCGCCGCCTATGGGGCCTGTGCTGGCTTTATGGCCTGGTGTAGGCTTTTGCCCGGTGCAGGCAGCTCCAATTGCCTGGCTCTGATGGTGGTCTCGGTTCTGCTGTTTTGGAATTTTAGAGGCTACCATCACATTTCTGCTCCATGCTGTCTTCCAGGAACCTGGTGTGGGGCTAGCAAATGAGATCCTTCCTGGGCCACCTTCCTTACCTTTAGGGACTTGGCATACCCTAGTCCCAGGTAGTCAGCTCCAGGGAACCCTTCTGCATGCCCGTCTCTTCTCAGGAATTCTGATGAGGCCCTGGCCTTTCTTATCTGGGGCTCTTCTGTCCCCCAGGTCATTCGCGAAGCCCCCAAAGCAAGTGCAGACAGTCTGCGAGTGTATCCTTATCATGAAAGGCTACAAGGAGCTTAACTGGAAAACTGCTAAGGGCATGATGTCTGACCCCAACTTCCTGAGGTCCCTGATGGAGATCGACTTCGACTCCATCACCCAGAGTCAAGTGAAGAACATCAAAGGTGAGTGGGGGCTGGGGTGGCACCATAGCCCTGGAGATGGAACAGCCCACTGGGACAGATGGTGGCTGCTGGCCCACTGCAGTTGGCTCAGTAGGGGTCTGGCTCTCCCCGGCAGGAAAACAGGAATTGATGGGAACCCAGTTCTGCCTTGGCCCTCTGTGTGGCTTAGCACCTTCCCTTTGTGTGTGTGTGTGTCTTTTTTTTTTTTTAAGATTTATTTATTTATTATGTATACAGTGTTCTGGTGCCTGCAGGCCAGAAGAGGGCACAGATCTCACTACAGATGGTTGGGAGCCACCATGTGGTTGCTGGGAATTGAACTCAGGTCCTCTGGAAGAGCAGCCAGCACTCTTAACCTCTGAGCCATCTCGCCCTCTTTGTGCCTCTTGTCAATGCCCTGCCTCTGTGTGCACCTGGGGACCAACCAGGGAAAGGGCCAGAGAATGCCCAAATTCCCTGTCAGCTGACTCTTGGCACTGGCCAGGGCTCTGCCAGGAGGGGTGATGTCCCCATGGACTACATTGTAAAAGCTGCGCACAACCTTACTCCTGAGGGGGTGGGGTGGTTCAGCAGATAGAGGTATTTATTCAGAGTGCCTGGTGACCTGAATTAGACCCCCCAGAAAGTAGAGAAATATGACTTCAAAGTTGTCATCTGACCTCACTTGACATGTGTACCATGGCATGTGTGTGTCACAGAGAGAGAGAGAGAGAGAGAGAGAGAGAGAGAGAGAGAGAGAGAGAGAGAGAGAGAATGTGCACATATATGATACACACATATGAGAAAGAATAATTCTTTTAAAGAAAGCAGAAAGACTCCCACCACCGATGCCTTTTCACAGTCCCTAAGTTAAACATATTCACTGATGAAATTTGAAACCCCAAGCCCCCCAGCATCTGGATACCTCTGTGACATAGCTGGGGTGATGGTAGGGACCCTCCCAGTCACCTGCTTGTCTGAGTCCTCTGAGTGCTCCTGGTCCCCAGAGCTTGGAGGGTGTCTGGTGGTGGGGTGTCTGGGTCATACGAGGTCATGGGGAGTCACAGGTGGCAGTGCTTTTACCCTTCATACCCACCTTCAACTCCGCACTTGAGAAACTCGGGACCCTGAGGACCCTCGTGACACTTCCTCTGTCCATGCAGCGTATCTCCAGTTTTATGTGCCCTGAGACGGAGCTTGACAGTCACTGTGTTTGACCTCTAGGCCTCCTGAAAACTCTCAACACCACAATTGAAGAAATGGAGGCTGTGAGCAAGGCAGGGCTGGGGATGCTGAAGTTCGTGGAGGCTGTCATGGGCTACTGTGACGTGTTCCGCGAGATCAAGCCCAAAAGAGACAAGGTGAGCCAAGGCCTCGATTGGGATCAGAGTTCAAGTGTCCACAATGCTGCTGGAAAATTCTTAGGAGCCCAGGCCCTGCCCCCACTCACACAGTGCAGACAGATGGGGTTGGAACCTTGTGTGCAATGCGGAGATGATTACAGCCACACCCCAAGCTGTGGTGGCTCTTTAGCCTTGGCTCTCTTGGCTGCAGGGATGGCTTCTCCTTCCTGCCAGGACATCCTGTGGATTGTACAATATTTGGTAGTGCCCTGTCTCTATCTACCTGATGCCAGTTGGCCTCACCCAGAAGAATCTCCAGTCATTGTCACAGGGGGTCAACCTAAGGCCATCAGAGAACACAGTACTTACATAATGATTCATAACAGTAGCAAAATTAGTTATAAAGTAGCAATGAAAATAATTTTATGTTCGAGGGTCACTACAACATGAGCTGTATTAAAGGGTCGCAGGAAGTGAGAACCTCTGATGCAGACGGAGATGGCGGACCCTCTGCCATCCTTCTGCTACCTCTCTTCACACAGGTGGCCAGGCTGGAGCGGAATTTCTACCTAACCAAACGGGAGCTAGAAAAGATCCAGAACGAGCTGTCAGCGATCCAGAGGGAGCTGGAGGCTCTGGGGGCCAAATATGAGGCTGCCATCCTGGAGAAGCAGAAGCTGCAGGAGGAGGCAGAGATTATGGAGAGGCGGCTGATCGCGGCCGACAAGCTCATCTCTGGTCTGGGGTCAGAAAATGTCAGGTGAGAGGCATCCCCCACCTAATGAAGGGACCCATAATCTATGCAAATTTAGCACATGCTCCAAAGGACTGACAGATGGGAGCTGCTCAGCATGGCTTCCCGGTCCCTTGCAGGTGGCTCAACGACCTGGATGAGCTGATGCACCGGCGGGTGAAGCTGTTGGGCGACTGCCTACTCTGCGCGGCCTTCTTGAGCTACGAGGGCGCCTTCACCTGGGAGTTTCGGGATGAGATGGTCAACCAGGTGTGGCGGAATGATATCCTGGATCGAGACATCCCCCTGAGCCAGCCTTTCCGATTGGAGAACCTCCTCACAGATGACGTGGAGATCAGCAGGTACCGCATGGATCCCAGAGGGGTCTGTGTGGGTGTCACCTGGAGTTGCGGGTGGGCTGCAGGGCTAGGAAGCACAGCCAGCCCTGAGAAAGGTCATGGGTTATTTTTATTAGAAAGCTGACCCCGTGACCTCCAGCCTTGGGTAGGGAAAGTCCAGCTCCCTGTGGTTGTCCCTTGCAGGTGGGGTTCTCAGGGCCTTCCACCCGATGAGCTCTCGGTTCAGAATGGCATCCTTACCACCCGGGCCAGCCGCTTCCCGCTCTGCATCGACCCCCAGCAGCAGGCCCTCAACTGGATCAAGAGAAAGGAGGAGAAAAACAACCTAAGGGTGCGGCCCCACCCTGAGCCCCACCTGAGGACTGAAGAGCCCTTTCCTTGTCCTCCCCCCCCCCCCCCCCCCCCCCC